GTAGAAAAATGGTTTCCATTGATGAGGATAGTTTCATGCAGATACTTCCAAAGCTGTGCTGTCCTGCACAGGTTGGAAACTCCACGTAGTGTCTCTGAGTTTTTAAGTCCTAATCCTCATCAGACCAAGACAGAGAGACAGTGCTGTCCCCCACTCACAGGTTGAGCTGCAAGAAGAGTAACAGAGGCAAGGACAGGGAGCAGCATAAAAGTGAGAGCCAGAGAGGTTGCCAGCCTACTCTTCAAATCCACATGGTCATAGGGCTTATGTTCAGTATTAGGTGACTCAGTCAGGTATTAATAAAACCAGGTGTTCGTGTCAGCTGAGCTCCGCCTGGCCAGGAAGAGCCAGGTCGGTCTTGGACATCCCTCAGCCAAGGAGACTTCCGCAGAGCTTATGACTAACTGGTGACTTCCCTTTTGGTAAGCAAGCTTAGTCTAATAGCTTAAGTCTTTTATGTATGTCTTCCTAAATTATATGGTATTATGGTTTAACCCCAGCCAGCAACTCAGCCGCTCGCTCACTCCCCTTTGTGGGACGAGGGAGAGAACCAGAAGAGTAAACGTGAGAAAACTTGCAGATTGAGATACAAACAGTTTAACAGGTGGAGTAGAAGCCACCTGTGCAAGCAAAGCAGAAAAGGAATTCATTCACCACTGCCCATGGGCAGGCAGGTGCTCAGCCATCTCCCGGGCAGTGTCTAATGGTGACTTGGGAAGACAAATGCCATAGTTCCAAACATCTTCCCCTTCCTTCTTCTTCCCTCAGCATGCTGCCATATGATGCAGAATATCCCTTTGGTCGGGTGGGGTAGCTGTCCCAGCTGTGTCCTCTCCCAGCTTCGTGTGCACCCCCAACCTTCTTGCTGACAAGGTGCTAGGAGAAGCAGAAAAGGCCTTGGCTCTGTGCAAGCACCGCTCAGCAAGAACAAAATCATCTCTATATTATCAGCCCTCTGTTCAGCACAGATCCAAAGCACAGCCCCATACCAGCCACTGTGAAGAAAATGAACTCCATCTCAGCCAAAACCAGCACACAGGGTAACAAATAAGCAGGACTGTGATGAGGCTGACTGCCTGTGTAGTGTAACAGTGGGAAGAGCTTGGGTTTACCACAGTTCAGATGAATAAAATATTTACAAGTCACTGACTGCTGTAGCATCTTTGCTTCTTTCCAACCCTGTGGTGGAGCCTGAGAGGGCTGATGAAGTGTGAAAGAAGGGAGGGGAAGCAAAGGGCATTACCAAGCCAGATGGTGGTTACTGGTGTTGAAAAATCTATTACCTGGCATGGCAGGAGCCAGCGGGTATGGAGCTGGGCCTCAGGAGGAGGGGCGGCTTCAGGAGTTACCAGTTATTAAAACTCTAGTCCTGTGTTTTCTCCAGTTTCAGAGCCTCTGTGTCTGCAGTTTACTCCTTGCTTCTGTCATGTTTTGAGGGATCACTGTGAGCTAATTAAGCTGTTTGTGTGGCTAAATGGGATTAGTGGAACATCTTTGTTAACCCTTTCTTTATTCTCCATTTGTTTATTTTTAATCCAAATCGTTTTCACTGATCCTGTTTTGAGTGGGATACCACAAAGGGTGTCTTTTCCAATGACAAAGACATTCTGAGGTTCTCTGCTTCACTGTCATTCCTCTGCTGTGTGCAGTCCCAGGGCTGCCCTAAACTGGTGGTTTTGGATTTGTACAGTGCCTGGTGAAATTATGTTTCTCTATGCTTTTATGTTGTTTGCATTGCAAAATACAGTGGGATTCTTGTTGTTTTGAAGGCCTGATGATGTTGGGAAGCATATTGGCCTGAAACTTCTTGAAGTACTGGGTTTTTTTCTCCTTTTTCCTGAAATTTTTCCTGAAATTTATGGATTTCGTATGTTGTATAACATTTCCTTAAAACTAATCTTGTAGTTGAAGGTATTTTATAGTTGTTTCTGCTTTAAATCCAAGGCAGCTGAAGGTTTGTAGTCTGTGAGGCTGTTTGCATCTTGATTTTTGTAGAGCTTTTTCTATGCTGTGGCAAACATCTAAATGTGTATGTGAGGATCATCAAATGTATTTGAAAGACCTCTTTAATCTTCAGCAGATAAGTAAGGGAAGTACTTTCTAGCCATCACTTCTGCTGGAGGAGAGGAACTTTATGAAAAGCATGATGTGATGATAGCAGTCCTTTGATAGTTGTTAAGTGTGGGGACTTCTACTCACTCTGAAATTCCTGGGATACATCATATTTTTATCAGTTTATCTTCTCTTATGTCTTAATTTTCTCAGTTGTAGAATATAACTGTCCATTTCGGATTATGATTTTGTCTTCTGTGTTTGTTAAACCTGCTCTTCAGTGTTTTTGATCAAAACCATTTTGATTAGTACTGAATTAATCAGCTAATTCGCACAGAGACAGATCTTGAAACCTTGAGTTATTTTTGCCTGCTGGAGATGTGTTTGAATTGGTATTTTGCTGGAGCAGGGTGTTTGTGTTCGAGGCTTCTAACTAATCATAAATTTAGAAATTTAGGGTTAATTGTTTTTTGACTCTGGATATAAGCAAATATTGCTTGTGGATTTCCCCCCATCCCCTTGGCTGGTGGCTGTCTAGTGACAGTCACAGTGGGAGAATAGAAGGGAGAGCCCATGCAATGGGTCTGCTGGTGCTCAGGTTCTCATCAGTTGTAATGGCAAGACAGTAGGGTGCCCAGTGTCCTGGAGGTGCACAGATCACCTGGGCTGAACTTTCCAGGTGTTGCTGAGCTGTCCCTTGATGTTCCCTGCTTTGTTGTCTTTGGAAGTCAGCCTGGCCCAGTCTTAAGGTCCGGTAGTTTGCAGTATTTGCCTCGATATCGAGGCACTGTGGCAGGAGCAGTGTCTGTGCAACAGCTGGAATGGCTTGATGGACTGCAGGAAGGTGTGGAAGCCTTGCCTTGTGTTTCTGTCTGGACCAGGACTCTGTGGTTTCCAGAAATCAATTTCAGTACTTTTCATTAAATTATAGACAGACTCAAGCTCTAAAAAATGTGTGTTGGCAAGAATGTCCCTTGGGAGGAGATGGTGCAAGGCTACTTAAAATAGATAAACACCCATTCAGTGTTTGCTAGGGTTGTTTTTTTTTTTAATTGGAAGAGCAGCATCATGTATTTTTGTAATATTAATCATGTTAATGAAAAGGGCTTCACATCACAGATTTTCTTTTCAAAATATGCACAGCCTTGCACATAGGTGAACCCAGTGATTGTGGGGTGTGGTTTCCAAGTCCCAGGGGAAATTTGGCCGTCAGGTATTTTCTCCCTTCATACATATGTGGAAGAAAAAGAAACAACCCAGGAACAAACAGCTCAGTAAATGTCTGAGGTTTTTCCTCAATTATCTAGAAGCTGACATTACATCATCTACACAGATGTAAATATAGAAAATAGTAGGTGTGTTAAATCTCCTGACTTATTTTTAAAACCTTTTTACAGAGGACTGTCTTCAGTCTTTGTTTGTGTCAATAAATAGAGATGTGACATTATGTCTGTTTTTCTTTCCGGGAGATTGGAACTTTCTTTAAATGCTTATTTTCATCATTTATGATTGTTTTTATCTACTGTGGAAATTCTGTTATCTTTTCTGTCTTGGACTCTTCTCTTTCACAAGATAGTTATATTTCAGTGAAGCTGTGTCCTGTTTTTTCCTAACCATTCCCCTCTCTATACACATTTCAGATTTTCCCAAACATGCATTTTTCTCTCTCAACAATGATATTTTTGAATGTTATTGTTGAACAGATTAATAAATAATATAGCTGTGTGGTTTTGTATGAAAATCAGCTGAACTGTTGCCTTTTCAGACAAATAGAAAAAACCAATCCCTTCTTCATTTTCAGTGCTATAAACAGAGAATTAGCAAAATAGATGTGAATATTTTGGGTATCGGGAGACCTGTCCTAGGTCCTGATTCAGCGTAAGTTCCCTGTTGGAGATAATATTCAAGATTTAATATAAACAAAATCCAGACTTACGTGACTTCTCATCTGTCAAAGAACTTCTTAAGCATTCAGTGGAAATGCAGTTTTGTTTGGTATAATGTGTCTGTCAGATTCTGTGTTGTGGATGGGCAGTGTTATATCTGTGTATGGCTGCTTTGTGGAAGTAAGTGTTGTACCAAATAAAGGGTCTAACTTGGCTTAGAAGTTGGACTTCAAGTATTACTGTAATAGTACAGAACAAATCTGACCAATTCTGAAATCAATTTCTATTGCCAAGTAATTGCTGCATGTAAGAAAACAAGTGAGGAGTTGAAGTGTTTCCTTTTTTTGCCGGTGTTGCTGAAATAGTTCAATTTATTTAGAGCATATGATTTCATGCATTTGTGCCTGATTGTTAGTGCAGCTGTCAACAGCTGCATGCTCATTTGGCTAATTACATTCTAGTAAGATAACTAAGCTTATTTTAAGATATGCAGTTGTGTGCTTTTTTTTTTTTTTTAAGCAGCTACACACACTCAGAATATTTACTGCACAAAGTTTGTGCTGTCACACTGAACCGTCATCGCTCTAGAGAGGAAATGTAAAAGCTTCTAAACAGGACTGTATCAGCCAATGTAGTATATGGATAGCAGCTGTGAAAAGCTGGACCATGCCACTTAAATTCATATGGTTCTAAGGGCCTTGAAATGGTCTCATCCTTGGGGTTAATTTCATCATCTGCTCTTTGGCGATATTTTATGCTTAACATGTAAACCTTTGATTTCCCAAGCAACCAGTTCCTGTTGCTGCATCGGTATTCTCATTATGTGTGCAGGATCGATGGGCTTCTGCTCCATACTGATCATCTCCTGCAGGAAATATGTACATAAAATGAGGAATTGTATAAGTTGTATACGTAGAAAAAGCATATGAGGAGAACAGACTGTCTTTTATGCATGCTAATCCTGGATATTTGTATGATTTTTTTACTGGTATGTGTTAGTGACGTGATTACAGTCAACAGTATGAAATTTATAATGCAGTGTTGTTTTTATTTGTTATATAGCTTTATGCCAGTATATACAGGCCTCTAAAACCCGAGATGGTGGCAGCCGTTTCATTTCAAGTGCAACAGAAGGTAAAGGAAAAAGTGTGGGGAGAATAAAAAAAAAAGGCAAAATTCTTTGTTCATCTGATACTCTCTTCGTGGACATTTATGTGGTTCTTGATCTTTTAACCTTCTAGACTCTTTCTTCACAGCTAACTTCTTGCAATAGATGGTGAATATTTTCCTAAGTCTCGAAAACAAAATCAAGTGATCTCATGATGTCACCTGTATGTCTATCTAAAAGTTGCATCATCTTTGCATCTTGTCTATTTGTGCTTTTCTTCAGTAACAAAATTCCACTGAAACTGAAGCTTTAGTTATGTTTTAATGAGAATCTGAAATGTGTGAAGGGTGGCTTAGAGAATTGCTGTCATGACCACAGTCTCAAGATTGTCATACTTAGGAAAAGCACAGATACTTAATGACAGAACTGTTACAATGCTAATCCTTGCTAATATCTGCAGTCTGACTAAATGCTAACGAACTGTCTTGCGTTTTCTGTTTCTCTTAAAAGGAGTGTGTCCTTAATTCACTTATCCTCACATCTACCTGCTGATGTCCTGCTTTTTGGCCTTGTTTGAGCTTAAAAAGAGAATTAAATACTTACTTCTGTTTTTTTTTCTTTCATCTGCAGGGGAAAACTTTGAACAGACTCCGTTAAGACGCACATTTAAATCCAAAGTTCTTGCTCGCTATCCTGAGAATGTTGAATGGAACCCTTTTGACCAGGATGCAGTGGGAATGGTCAGTATCACATAATGGCTTTTATTTTTAAGACAAAAACCTACTTGAACAATTGAAGGCATTAAGACAAAAAAAGTGTGAAGTCTGTTATAGATTGGAAATCATGTGTTTCTCTAAATTGAGCAGACTCAAAAGGCTTTTTCATTTAGTTAGGATATATTTTGGGGGAAATGAATAAGTCCCTAGGATAGATTTTTTTTTTTGTTCTCTTACCTTTTTTTTTTTTTGATTGCATTCTAAAAAATTAATAGAGAAAGAAATTAGTCTGCAATGAATGAATCTCCTTTTTGTGCATGATTTTTCTGTTTAATGGAATCTGGTGTGGACTTTTAATTTAGATAAATTATAATACTTTTCTCTGTCAGGTTTCTGGTCTTAGTGACCAAAATACTTTCCTTTATTTGAGATTGTATTTTCTTATTTTATTCCCGTTGAGGCTGGTAATGAAAAGGTTATGAGTTTCAATAGAAACTGCATGCAGTTCCTTTTGTTTTTCTGATTTAGGTTCGTATTCCTGTATTGTGCAGAAATGTAACACTTAATAGAATTTAAAGTGAAATGCGATGGCAGTCTGTGGATTCTAAATCCCATTTTCACCAGTGCTTCTGTAGGCAGGGGGAGAGAAAAGAGTGTTTTAACGGGTATTATCTCCCCTTCCCCCTTTTTTTATAGCTGTGTATGCCTAAAGGGCTTGCTTTCAAGACACAAGCAGATTCCAGAGAACCTCAGTTCCACTCTTTCATTATTACTCGCGAAGATGGCTCACGGACATTTGGATTTTCTCTCACGTTCTTTGAGGAGGTCACTAGCAAACAGATCTGCAGTGCAATGCAGACGTTGTATCATATGCACAATGCTGAATATGACATTCTTCATACTCCACCCACAAATGACAAGGAGAGCTGCAGCAGCACTGGAGACTGCAATGGCACCTCTGTTTCAAAGCTACAGCGTTTTAACTCCTATGACATCAGCAGAGACACACTCTACGTCTCAAAGTGCATTTGCCTGATTACTCCAATGTCTTTTATGAAAGCTTGTAAGAAAGTGCTAGAACAACTTCACCAAGCAGTGACTTCACCTCAGCCGCCACCGCTACCTTTAGAAAGCTACATCTACAATATTCTCTATGAGGTCCCTCTTCCTCCAGCAGGAAGGTCATTAAAGTTTTCAGGTGTTTATGGACCAATTATCTGCCAGAGGCCAAGCACCAGTGAACTACCATTATTTGATTTTCCAGTTAAAGAAGTTTTTGAATTGCTTGGAGTAGAAAATGTGGTTCAACTCTTTACCTGTGCCCTCTTGGAGTTTCAGATACTGCTTTATTCACAGCGTGAGTACTTGGGTTTTGTTTTCTTTCCCTGTAGTTGTACTGGCACAGGATCTTTTTGTTTCTTGAATTCTGAAAACCACACGAACAACAGAATAGCTGCATTGAAGTGGCATGAGCGTGCTAATTCAGTCTGGCTGATCTGTGTGCAGGTCTTAAGGTAAAGAAAAGAACTGGAGTTGCCAAGAGAGTGTTGCATTGGCTCTTGCTGTTAGATGCCTAAACTTAAAGCTTTGGGCTTTCACATGATCTCCTTTATTGATGGGCTGACCGATCCCTTTATTGTTGGCTCTGGAACCGTACTGTTGGATAGAGGAATATACCTTCTTCCATGTTCCTCTCTAGCTGCTTAGTTGAATTCCTTCCTGTCTCTGCCAAACTGCAGGTGTAGTTCAAGCAGATACGTAGTTATAGAGCCTGTTCTGAAGAAGAGTTAGCGGTGCGAGTTAGCGGTGCAAATATAATCTTCTCTTGGAGTACCTAATGTAACATTTCAGTTGTTACTTTGAATGATAATTACCTGAACAAAGTTTTGTTTGACTGAATTAAATCCCAAATCTCTGTTAAGGCCTTGAAGCAGTTATTGCTGAAGGCACGCAGCTGAAGCTTGCTTAGAAGAGGACAGGCAGCAAGGAGGCTGAAATAGCATGTGCATCAATTACTGAGTAGTGTGGGAGTGCTATCCATTTTCGGTGTTAAAATTTGTGGATACTGGCCTTTTTACTATGCATCCTATTGCTCTGACACAGAGTGGAATTATGCCAAAAGATAGTTTCTCTACTTTTTTTTGTCCCAAGCTGACTAGGATTAATCCAGACCCACCCATCCATAATGGTGTGGTTTAAAATAGACAGACTGCATTGTGAACACTTTTTATAGTAATGGTAAAGGAGCCTAAAAGACCCCAAGACAAATCCAGGAATACTCCATGGTGTTACTGAAATCTGTTTTTGATGTTTTCTTCCATTGGGCTGTCACAGAAATATGTAGAGTACAAATGACAACTATTCATAAAATATAACCTGCAGTTACTAGCAGCCTCCTCCAGACATGAGGTACAGATGTTTGTGTGTTGAGGTCTGTGTACAGACTAAAGCCAAAGATGGGTTTTTGTGCACAGTCAAGGTGATTAAAGGTGTATAATGGCAACAGGGTGTTATGTCACTGTTGTTGCATTGTATAAACATTGTGAATTACAATAGAGAAACTGCACAGTAATTCAGATACAGCCAGAAAAACTTATTGAACTGTATAGTGGTCTTGGATTTAAAAACCAAATTGCTTTGCTTATTGTTCATAGCAAATCTAGAAATAATTGTCTAGAAGACAAAACTTCCTTTGTGGTTTCTCCAGAAATGGATTGGGAGTTTATATGTTTGAGAGTTGGGGAGAGTTTGTTTATGTGGATACCTGTGTCCCATCAATGGAGGATTCAAACATCAACCTCTTCCATCTGAAGAAGAGTGAGGTCCTGTTGGGCTGCAGTGGTGCCTGAGATGTCCTGTGGTGGGATTAGGTGTGCCTGGATGGTGGGAAGCTCTGCAAGAAAAGGCAATGCATTGCCATATGGGAACAGTTTTCCTGGATCTCTTCTCAGGCCATCCTGTTATGGGTACTTTTTCCTTCCAGACTGGAGCTCAGCTCACTCTGGGACTAGTCCTTTGTATTCTGGGTTCCCTCTCCAAGTCATATTAATAGGTTCAACTTTCAGTCTTGGGCCCTTTCCAAGTGTCTGATTTAGTGGCTAATTAAAGAAGCTTAAAATAGCCCTGGAACACTTGAGTTTCTTGTTTGCAGGCACAGACCTTTGGAGTTCAAAGGAACCCATGATCAGTTAGGACAGGTTTCTGTCCACTGTTCCCCTGCCTCACCCCAAACTTTGGTTTGGTTGGGCTGTGTTGCACTTTATGGAAGTGTCTTGTCTCTCTATCAAGTTGCCACCTATAATTTTTGGCTGAAAAGTCTTCTTTCAGAGGAAAAAGAATTTTAGTTATTTGTTTGCTGACTTATGGCCCTCTTTTATTGTGAACTAGCTGCAGCAGTGCCTTCTCAGTAATAGTAGCTGATGTTTTTTGAAACATAGCTTCTCTTAAGTACTTTCTGAGGGATTTAATCTCTGTGCCTTTTTTTTCTTTTGGGGAGTTTGATTTTTTGCCTTTTTTTTTAAAATTTTATTTTTTTAACTGGAATATAATCCAAATATATTCAACTCTTCTGTCAGTGTGGTTGAGTTAGACCTGATTTTTGCTGTTTGTAAAACAGTGAAGATTGAATGGAGATACAGGTGATGGTGCACTCAGTTCTGAGTGGTATCAGAAATTGCTTTACTTTTGAGAAGGCTTGTTCTTCTATGCACACCAGTGTGAGGTCTAGGCTGTTCTTCAGAATATGAATATTAAATTTTTTAATGTGCTTTGGGTTTGTTAAATCTCTTGGTGCTCAGACCCATGACATTTGAGGTGATTGAGATAATTTCTTATTCTCCTATGTCAGATGAGGTTATGGTATTCATGGAGTGGATTTAGATTTAGAACAGTATGTGTCAGGATAAGAGGGATTGTGAGATTTACTTAAAAAAAACCAAACCAACCACAAACACACACAAAATAATGAAACACCACCAAAATAAAAGCCAGAGCCCAAAACTCCTGGTGGTCTGGGTTGGAATAATAAAAGCATGACCAGCAGGTTGAGGGAGATGATTCTCCCATTCTGCTCTGATGAGACCACACCTGGGATACTGTGTCCAGCTCTGGGACCCCCAGCACAGGGAGGACATGGACCTGTTGGAGTGAGCCCAGAGGAGGCCATGAAGATCAGAGGGCTGAAGCACCTCTCCTGTGAAGGCAGACTGAGAGAGTTGGTGCTGTTCAGCCTGGAGAAGAGAAGGCTCCAGGGAGACCTTCGAGCAGCCTTCCAGTACCTGAATGGGCTGCAAGACGACTGGAGAGGGTCTTTTTACAGAAGTGTGGAGTCACAGGACAAGAGGGAATGGCCTCAGAGCTGAAAGAGTTAGATTAGATATTAGGAAGAAGTTCTTTACTGTGAGAGTGGTGAGGCACTGGAACAGGTTGCCCGGAGAGGCTGTGGATGCCCCATTCCTGGAAGTGTTTAAGGCCAGGCTGTGGCCTTGAACTTAGAGCAACTTGGTCTAGTGGAAGGTGTCCCTGCCCATGGCAGGGGGTTTGGAATGAGATGAACTTTAAGGTTCCTTCCACCCCAAACCTTTCTATGATTCTGTGACTCTGAATTTGCTGCCAAGTGCAATGCTTTATGAAACAAATTATTTAGCATATTAAACTACAGTTAGTCCTTGGAATAGGAGGAACTTCACTTGGCAATGAATGTGTTTTGGTTTGAGATTCCTTTGACATGTTTCTGACTTGATGCCTCTGGAAATTCTTCTTTTGTCCCACTATCTTGGCACAGCCTGTGTGTTTTGGATTGGTGTGAGCCAAATGGAGGGAATGAATACCTCAATTCAGTTGTCCTCTTGAGAGACCTGTCTCCCATTTGTCAGATGTTAGAGACGTGCAGGTGCCTGTAAGAGAGGGAAGAATCTGAAGCTGTTACTGGTGCTGAGCCAGTGCCAGGGAACTCTGGTGCTGGAGGCCTGCAGTAGTGCCCTTACCAGATTATTCTGTGGGAGCTGGTTTGCATTCCTGCAATTTATGTTGCTCTTGTATCTGTGAAATAGACTTAGTCCTTATCTTGCTGAGCACCTAGAGCTCTTCTGCAAAGTGGGCACTGAGTTGACAGCTGTGAAATCTACTTGGAGGTGATTTTGCTAAACAGCTTAAAACAAAAAATGGAGAAATGTAATGCACTGCTGCCACAGACTGTGATCTTGGGCAGTTTTATTTGCTGAGTATTTGCTGTCTGCTGCCATTTTAAAGTACAAATAAAGAGTTTTTTTCTTCTTTGCTTTTGAATCATTCCTCCCCATCTTTGTTTCACTTCTTTAAAATTATGTTAATTACAGAGATTTAAAGTATTAGTTTAATTTCTTTGCAGTATTAGTCCTGTGCTGCCTAACTCTCACCTCTTATATAGAACAGTTTCTTCTTATGCCTCCACTGATTTAGGAAATTTGCTGATTGGTGCAGCCACCTTGAATCAGCTTGTCAGACACAGAAGTGAACACAAATAGGAAGTACTTGACCCACTGCTTGTACTAACCACAGTTGGTTCTTACTGCAGTTGCAGGTTTTTTAAGTTACTTGTGACTTATTTGACAAGTACAGCAGTATTTCATTATGATCCATGAAGTAGGAAGATTAAAAGGAAAAATATTCCAGAATGTGATCATAAAATGGTTTTAAATTTGGCCAAGTCAGAGAATTTCTGTAGGCATTTGATACTTCTCTCTGGTAGGATGTGAAAATGGAAAAGGTGGAATCATGATTCTTACAGCTGCCACCTTCTTCCCATCCTGCTCCAGACTTTTTTTCCAGACCCAAGACCTCTCAATTGTTTTTCCTGGATTTACTTGCTTGTTAAAGGTCCACAAAAATGTGTGTATGTATTAGATGTAGATTAAATGCTAGTATAAATAACTACTCATACACATTTTAAGAGATAATGTGTTTTATCTATAGTAATTGGTTAGAACAACAAAGCAGCCTTTTTCTGTGTTCTTAAGTGGCCACATTAAAAAGTAGTGGATTTGCTCTTTCTTGCAGTGATCAGTTAAGCACTTTCTGAACTAACAGTGCCCTAGTGGTATGTCATTATTTCCCTACCAGTGCTCTTGTACAATACAAGGCCAAAAGACTGTGCCATTGGCACCAGAATAAGCACATTCTGATTTCAAGACCAAGAGCAACACCACTGCTGAAGTGCTTCTTCACTCTTTTAGTTTTTCCTTGTTGTTATCTTAAAATCTCCTCTAATTCTTTGCTACTAGAAGTGTGCTGCTTGCTTCTTTTTTAAACGCTAAAAACCCTCCATACCCTCTCAGGGTAGGTTATTTTGGTTTATGTTTGTAGGCTTCTTGCCTTTGTCCTTGGCTTTTGCCAACAGCTCCTGACATGTGCAGGGCCTGCAGAATGCAGTCATTGTTACTTGCAGGCTGCAACTGTGCAGGCCAAATAGTTGGGAATGGCTTAAGCCATGTGGATATCTGGGATCAGAGAGCTGCATCTGCAGATAGCTCAGTGGCAGGGGGTGGCTGCCCAGTGCATAGGAATTCTGAATTATTGATATTACTTGGTACTTAATTTTGAAAGGCTAATACTAAAGTTAGCTTAATGACAGAGAGAGAAGTTGTATTTAAATTAGCCAGCGGGATTAGACAGCGGGTTTTGTGTAGTAGGAAAACACTGTTTCTATTCTGAGACTTGTCCTTTCAAATAAACAAGCTGAATGCAAACCAGCTGGAATGTTTGTGTATCTATGGCTACATTTAAAGTTCCTTTTATAACTGAAGAAAATAGGGTATGGAATAGATTCTTCTTCTTCCCAAAGCTTATCATTAATTCATCACTTCCTTGCAGTCAGGCTGTGATTAAAGCTGCAAACCCAAAGTAGTTGTGCAGGCAGAAGCCAGTGTCCAGGCAGAGTAGGGGAGTGTTGCTGGTGATGTTCATTGATTGTCCCCTAATGTATTTCAGTCCAAATAAGCTTTTGGCAAAAACTTTATAAACTGTTTAAGCTGTTCTCATCTGTTTTCCGTGGGGGCTCTTTGGCTCATAGTAGTTCTCCTGCGGGGCAGTGACAGGTAGCTCCGTGCCATAACCTTTTCCACTAACACAGTTTGATCTGAAAAGAAAAAGTCAAAAGCTTCAGTTGCAGAATTATGACTGATGTTACCAAAACCCATGCTGAGTTCCTTTTAGGTTGTGGGACTCTTTGCAGACCCCAGATTCTGCAAGTTTGTCCTCAAACAAAATTAATCATGAATGTCAGGAACTGAATTTCTTGGCCCTTTGTCTTCTGCTGTCTGAAGTCTGAGTGGAGGCTTGCTAAAGGGTAGAATCAAAGTAATAACCTTGGGAAGTGCACAGTTAAGCTTAACTTTTCTCCAGAGTGTTTAAAACAAATGTTATTCTTGCTGTTTTCATCTACCCTCTGCAACAGTGTGTGACAGCTTCAGAAACCTCAACACCTGAGCTTGTTCATTCAAGTGTTTTCCGATTTCACAGTGTCTCTGGTTTTATAAACATATAAGGAGAAGACATGCATACTCCACACCCCAGCACACAGGTTACTGATTTTTTTCCCTGCCTTCTATTTCCCCTCCCTTTCCTGGCTGGAATTGGATATTGTCCATCCTATGTTTTGAGTTTGTGCTCTATTTATAGTTTGACTGAAGGTAGGAATTGTCCTAGTCCCGTGAGTTTGTTTTCCAGTCTTTCCAGCCTGGCAGCTCAAAAGCAGTCTGCATATTTCAGCAGTGGTATTAGAACACACTCTCTGAGTTCGTCTGATGTTGCCTCCCCCTTTACGGTGTGTAGATACCAAAACTCCTTAAATCTGTAATTATAGGAGGAGGGTGAGGTGTTGGCCCAGCATCCTGCAGTGTGAACTGCTCTAGCCACTAGCTATTAAAGATCTTTTCACATGTTGCATAGGTAGATTTAGCCCTGCTGTTAAATTCTAGGAGGAGAGGAGTTGTTTTTACGTTGAACTGGGGCTTTGGTCCTACATTGCACAGGATAAACGAAGCTGATCCTTTTTATTTTCTGCATAGTTATTTCAGTCACACTGTTGGGTTGGCTGCTGTACAGTGTGCTTTGCAGGCATTTAAACACTCTTTTAAAAAATGTTTATCTGAGAGATACCAGATGCCTTGGGTTTCATCCAAGGCTTCCATACAAAGTCATAAGCACAGAGAAAAGAAATCATTTCCGATGTGTTTCTTAGCCGATTACAATACTGCGTCTGTACTCAAACTGGTGCTCCTGGTGACCCCAGTATAGGTGACAGAAAGTGACTTAGCATGCATTAAGACTCAATTTGCTCATTTCCATATGACTTGTAGAATGACCTACTTTGCCTTGAGCTCTCTTTGTTGTTTCAGCAAATGTGCTGGGTGTGCAGGTCTGGGCTTTCATTGAGATGCCACTCAGCTAGTACTGGGTTTTGTGGTTTCTGTTTTCAAGCAAGCTCTCATTTCTTTAGCGTAAATTAATTTACTAAAAAATATTTGTGAAAAAAAGTTATTTTTTTCTTGATCTTTTTCAGATTATCAGAGGCTGATGACTGTGGCAGAGACCATCACCGCACTAATGTTTCCATTTCAGTGGCAGCATGTGTATGTTCCTATCCTTCCAGCATCCCTCCTTCATTTTCTAGATGCTCCAGTCCCTTACCTCATGGGCTTGCACTCTAATGGGCTGGATGACAGATCTAAGCTGGAACTTCCTCAAGAGGTGAGAGGAGCTCATCTTGATTGATTAAATATTGTCCATGACTATGAGGGGAGTGAGAAAAGAGCCAAAACACTAGTGCTAACTCCTTAACAGCTGCTGTCAAGTTGTTGCTGGCTCTGGTTTGGGATCGGTCTTTACTCCTTGGAGATGATGAGGAAAATCTGGTGAAATAGATAAAGCCCTGCTTTTGAAATTGTGTGCTCTGATAACATTAAACTGTAATTTTACAGGAATTGATGCACTGGGCTTACAGAAAGAACATTTTTTGCTCTGCAAAACTTAGCCCTGTAATGCTGGGAAGTGCAGTGTGAATTCCCCAGCTGTGGCCAAAAGGCCACACAGCTGCTTCTGTCAGGTGGTGAGTGAGCAGAGCTCAACTGGCTTCAGTGCTGTGCTGGTTCCTGCCTGCATGGGGTTAGGCTGGGTTACCCTGCACTGAATTTCTGAGTTGGAGTTGGCTTACATGGACCCAGCCTGCCAGGTGTCTGCACAGAACTATTTCAGATTTTCTCCAGAGTGAATGCTTCCATCTGCAGCAAAATGTCAGCGTACACTGGAGCAAACTGGTGCTAACTGGGGTGGTGCTGAGGAAGTCCTCTCTTGTAGTGAGGTTCTGGTAGCAGCAACTCCTGTGTAAAGGAGAAGCAAATGGTCTGTAAAGGTTCTGCAACTCGTACATAGGGCTGGGACTATGGTCAGACTTCCTAGAGGTTGTTTTCTTTTTATCCAACTCTTCACAAGTGCTCTTTTGAGGGAAGTGCCAAGAGTGTTTAAGAGCTGGTTGTGGTGATCAGGGGACCAAAGTAGCTGAGCACTACCCAAGGTAGAGGAAATGCCCAGCCCCTGCTATGATCTGCTCACTTGTAGGTGTAACTTTGCAGGGGAGGAACTGGATAAACCATAGGAAGACCCCACTTAGAGGCACTGGTAGGATTCTCTAACCTCTGCTGTTTTCTCTGCCTGTTTTCTTGTATTACCATTTACATGTCTGGGAAAGCAGAAGTGTGTCAGACACAGGGTTTTGTGGTGGTGGTTTTTATTTTCAATATCAGGCAGTGCTGCAGCATAGCTTGACACAGAAAACCCCCTCCTTTTTAAAAAAGCTGCGTGAAATTAGACAAGATATTTTTGTGAACCTCCAGTCTGGTCTCCATGCCAACACTGCTCTTTTTCTCAAATCCATATGCTGGTAGTTTTCATTTGTTTTTCCTGGCAAGTTCAAAGGAAAACTTTTTTCAAACTGTTATTTTTTTTAATGAAAACTGAAGTATTTAATCTCTTGATTTCTTTCTTTTCTCCATCACCTCTTATTTTTTTCAATGGCATAATTAATAACAGAGTAGTGTATGTTCTTGCCATGAAAACAGTCTGTTGCTTTGGTTTACTACATTTTTACAAAATTTTGGCTGTACTGACAGGCCTAATTAATATGGTTAGTACACTTTTTAGAGAGAATAGCTGATGAAGTAAAATATATGTGTGGATATGCATGTTAATATGCACCAAGGATGTTTTCACTGTTACCATAAGCTTCTAAAAGACTGTCCTCCTTTTGTAAAGAACTTCCTCATTTTAAAATCACTGTAATGCTTCCAATATATAAACATATTTTAACTTCAAATGGGTTTTTCAATTATTTAAAAGGTAAATAGTTTTTGAAGAGATTTATCAGCTTATTTTTGAGGTTTTTAAAGTAAGGCAGTTGATCTCTTTTTAGATGTCAAAAATGAAATCCAAGTAATATTAAAAGATAATCTGACACCTCGATTTACATTTTGTTTTACAGGTAGGCTTTTATGAAGGTGGAGGAGTAGATTTTTTGGTAGTACCTTACAGAGATCAGAATTGTCTGGGAGGGGAGGACACCCAGGACAGATGGCAGCAGCAGCGTTCTCGTGTGGTGGAATTTGCTGCAAGACTTGTCCTTCTGAAGCTTCAGCTTTTCTCTTTCTTATTTGAAGAATGAGCTCTTATAACTTGGTACATGATGAGTATGACTTAGTCTGAGAAACCCCCTTGGTAGTCACTGCTGAGTAAGGACTGTTGAACTCAGCTCTGCAGGCTGGGAATGCAGTTATGGCACAGAAGCAGGCTTGAGACTTTAAGTCTTTTAGTAAATAATTAAGAAGTTATCCTATACCAATAGATTGGCTTATTCAAGAGGCAAAGTAGCCTAGAAAGAACAGGAGCTCACTGTTGTCAAGACTTTCATTTTAGAGAGTTTGCTTGAAAAAACCAACCCATCAAAACCCCACAAAACAAACACCCCCCCACGCTGCCGCCGCCCCCGGCAAAACCTGCATTGCAAAAAGAAATAGATGTACAGTTTCAAAATGTAAAGCAGAATTCCAAGTGCATGCTGGTCTATGTGAAATTATTGGTCAATACAAGCATTTCTGATATTAATAATTTAATCAGCTTTAATATAGTTAACATTGCAATAACAGGTTCATCTCAAAACGACTTTGCTTTATGATTAGGCTTTCAGATACCCTTCACTTAAAGTGCCAGAGGAGCTCTATACTTAATTCCTGACAGAAACTGCCAAGGAACATGAATAATGTGTTGTTGTAGAGCAGCAGAAGAGGGCATATGGTTCCATTATTTGTACTTCAATAAAGACAAATTTATCATCAGTAACAGAAGGGATATTAATATTTAACATTGCTTGTCTCTAAAGTTTGGAATGTATATGAACCTTTATGAAATCATCAGGGTTATATGAGGAACTCCTCTAGGCTCCTGATTCATATATACAGTGAGTATCAGAATTTTCCTCACTTACTCCAAAGGGTATATAAAGAGCTGTTCTGTGTTATAATTTATTCTGAGTTCTGCAAAATTTTTTTTTCATTGTCTTGGAACTGCATAAACTGCATCTCTGTTGCTAATCTATTTACATGGATGTGTGGGACAGCTGCTGTTAAAGAAAGCAGTATCTGAATTAAACAAGGGCCAAAGAGGTGAGAGAAAATCTAATTAGTGCTTCTCAGTTGAAGGGCATTGTGGAAAAATATAATATTTCTGTCTAGCATACCATGGATATCTTAGTGTCACTGTAGACTTCTTGATTTTGGTTTTATAATGAGGTATTAAAAAGACTGATGTGTCTTGCTCAAAGTATTTTAGGTTAATATATGGGAAAATACTGTCTGTCCCAACTTGGTTAGGTTTGGCTTGGCTTAAATCTTGCACACATTTGTCATCTGGCTTGTTTTGGTTTGCTTGTGGTGACAGTCTCCCACATTCGGTCATACCTGGTGCTTCAAGGGAATGCTTTACCCTGGGAGCAGGGAAACCCACCTGTATCCTTGAAGTTAATGCTTTCTTAGATGGTTATTAAAATCTTCAGCAAAACAGCTGCATTAGTACAAAATTCAAGTTTAGCCTGTTCCTTGGGTACATCAGAAAACAGTCCCTGATGGAGAAGTCATTGGAGTCCACCAATGGCTTGAAGCCCAGTAAAACCGTAGAGAATTCTCAAGGGTCACTGTAGGGTTGAGTTTCTCGTGCGTGTCAGCAGTGCAGGACCTGTTCTCATACATATGGCTGCTCTGCTGAGGGCTCTCTGTGTGTGCAGGAGCATCCTTGTGGTTTCACTGGTAGCTGCATCAGAGGCTTGTAAGAAACCCAGAAGAGAAGGGGAAGGACGGGAGAAGCGCTGCTAGAACGAGGTGCTGCAGATATCAAAGGGGAAGGGAGGAACATGTGGCTGTTTCAGAAGTTACTGGCAAAAGTGTGGTTTGTTTATCAGTAAAATTGATCCAAAAAGTGGTTTGACTAAGCTTTCTTGCAGATCACAAACCTAGTAAGTGCTATTTTTCTGATGTGCCTTTGCATTTCCTTTTAGAGAAATTTTTGAAGTGCTATAGCGATATATTTTTAACAAGCAACTTAATGGAGACCATTTTGTGCCACTGGATTTGCATGTGTATCTTGCCACTCTAATTTAGAAGAATGGTAGGAATTGAAATTATTTTCAGGGAAAATAAGCAATACTGAGTTTTCCAGCACTGGTTGAATCAAACAAATGCAGCGTGTAATTAAAAAGCTTGGTTTTAGTGAAGTGATCTCAATGGTCTTGGGCAATAGCTTTTTGTTTTAGAAAAGATTTTAAAGGTTTTAAAACCTAAAATCCAGTTCTTTGCTAGTATAAGACAGGTTATATCTATTCTCAGCAGTTTTATTTCAACAATTAAAAGGATGTTATTCAGTGCTAAGTCTTAACAGACTCTGTGGGTTTTATATGTTGTTTTAGAAGATAAGGAAGATATCTTGAAAAGCTCAGCTTGATGCTAGCACATTTAGACCAGACTGACCAAGATAGTTATTTAAAGATAATCACTACTTTGTATGCATTCTCAGGCTATCTGCTGATTGATAGATAATGCTGCAAATTTATTGACAGACTTTTATGTTTTCCTGTATTTCAGTGTTAAACAGCAAGTTGAGGAGTTTCTGAAAGCTGCAGCAGCTTTAAGCTGTTCTGTCACAAATTCTGGGTTGGCATGCAGAGCAGTAGTGTTGAGAATGAGAGCAGAAGGTCACATTTGCTTGCAGGAACGACACAGGAGCATCCTTTAGAGTTTAGGACCACTGTAAACACACTTTCCACGAGTCAGCTGTGTGTGTGTAAGCACATAGCTTATACAAAAACGTGTCATATGAAGTGGGTGATTATTTGCAAGGTTGGGACCTAATGCACAAGGGTGGTACAGGCTGTAGGTGAATGGGTTTCAAGTTTTTCAGTGCTGTATGCCAGCAGAAGCTGTCCTTTTGGCAGCACCTAAACAATTTCCTTCTGTACTTTTGAACAGAGCTGGAAGGGAGGATGTGGGCTTGATGCAAGCCTTGCTAGGTCTGCCTGAGGCTTTGGCCCCTACTGTACCTGGGGTCAAACTAAAGAGTTACAATTGTCCTTTGGCTTTGAAATGCGTGGGTGTGGTCCGGACCTCACTGAGCCCACCATTAGTGGTGCTGTTGACTTGAGGAAGCAGGCTTTGGCACCAGGTACATGAACATTCGTTTACTTAGATCCACCTTTCTAAGGTTTGTAAGATTTTGACCTGGACACCCTGTTACTTGTGATGATAGAAGTATGTGGGAAGGACAAGTTTTTAAATTAGGATGTGACGCCCTTGTTCCTTACAGTAGTGTCTCAGAACGTTTTATTGTAGATGATGTAATGTGTCCTCACTTGTGACAGTCTGCTGTTGAAGTGGTGTGTAACTGTTTGAGGTTTTCTTTTGATCAGAAAACCGAGATCTCAGCAACAAGTAACAATATTTGACTGTTCTAGAAACCTGAAATATCAGGTTCCTTAACTTCCTTAGGGATTTTTCCAACTACCTTAAGGATGCTATTTCAATTATATATCTACTTATACATATTGCCTTTATATATATTGTCTTTATATAATTTTAGTTTTGCATGTGTAAAATAATGATCAATGTATCCATGAGGGTTTACATACAGAGCTATCAGCTACTCACAGTCCTCTTAATTGTGCTGCCTCCAGAGGCAAAATAACTAAACCTTTGTGATTGAAGAACTCCTTTATTTTTCTGCTTTGTGTACTTACCCAGTTCCTAGCATGCAAAATACTTTGGATGGTTGTGATTTCATAAATAGTAAAGTGCCAATTCATTTTGCATAGTTTTTAATGAGGGGGCTTCTCTGTTATTCGTGGTCTGTTTACTTCAGATTTAATTTTTACAGAAAAATGTTGTTTTGGTACCTCTTCAAGGGCTTGTGCAGTGAGGTCTCTTTGCCATTTCTGCTCCCTGAAGAATATGGCCTTTTGGGAAGTGTTCTTGAGGATGACCTCAAGTCTCCCTAACTTAAGAGAGGCTAAAACCATCTACTGAATCTTCCGTGCTTATGCTCCTATAGATAGTCCTCTATCTTGTGTGTTATTAACCAGGCACTGGGTAACTGTAGAGTGTCCCTGAAAATATTCTCTACACTCTTTGGAGTATTGCTGCACATTAGCTTTTCCTCCCACCCCCCAATGTTTCCATATAGAGCGCTTTCTGGGAAATGTAAGAGTAAGTTGCATGATAAACAATCATCACTAGTAGCTCAGAGTATTTAAACCATGTGTATTGCTCTTAGAGAAGAACTCTGCAGAAGGGGAATTTAGCTTTTAGAAGAATTAACCAGATGAGTGCAGATACTTACAAGCACTTTTAGCAAGCATTGAATTTGGCTTTTTCTTCCTGTTGGCAAGGAGTGTAATTTCAGTGTGAAGAGTAGAATTTCTACATTAGTGTAAGGTTAATGTTTGGTTCCTTTTAGGCCAACTGTTTTTTAGATACAATCAAGCTTAACCAAGAGTGAAGTTTTCTGCAGAATCTGTGCTAAGGTAGATAATCCAAAAGAGAAGAAAAGTTGAATGGCATCAATTAAAGAAAGTTCTAAAAGGAAGTAATACAATGAAACTGTTGGAAGACTTCTTAGTGAGTCTGTCTTGCCATTTTGCAGACTGCTTGAGACAAATTAAATGCCTTTTGTTTTTCCCTCAGCACTGATTGGTAGGCATTGTGCCTGGTTTCAGAGCTTTATTTCTCTCATGTCTTGAAGTACTTGCAGTGTTCCTGATAAATATCAGCTGACTGGACTTCTGATCATCAGAGAGCCATGTCTATGTATAGTGGGAGTCTTGAAGCTCCTAAATTCAGGTGCTTGCTTGAAGCATGGGAGTTCTTGTGTACATGGTGTCCCTTTGGACCTAATCTTTGAATGGGAAGCAGGAGCACTCTGAGAGCATTCCCAGCCCAGGGCTGGGCCTGCTTTGCTGGGTGGGCACACACACCATTTGCTGTCTTGGAGCAATGCTGATATTGGAGAAATTTAAACCATGACACCTGCCCTATTTAAAAAGAGAAAATTTTTTTCTAGGGTGCACCAGGAGCTGTTTCAGAATCATCATCTTAATTCTCTTTATTGACCTTGGATTCTTTTGTAACACCTAATTCAATTTGTGGCTTAATTTACAGTAATGGATCTATGCAAGAGCTATTAAACTGTTTTATATGCATTTCCTTTGAATGTAAGAAATCAATCCCAGTATTAAAATGTTAAAACATCAGGAATTCTGCTTACCTGTGTAACTGTGGGTAATGCAGTAGCAGAGCATAAATTGGACTTTGTCATGCAAAGTTCTGTGCAAACTAGTGTAGTATGTCCAGTGGGGTTCTGCATTAAGAATTCTTTTTCATATTTTAATGTTGGAAGTTCAATGAGATTTTTGTGTTTTAAGGAGAATTGACACCCTAACTCTTATTCTGTAGCAATGTCTAGAGAGTTAAGCCTGTCACAAGCACTAAATGTATGTTTTCACAACAGTTCACTTAAATGAACAGGTCTCATGAGACACAGCTTAGTCTAGTCTAGCTTTGGTCAGTTCTACAGCAAAATCCTACCAGAACTCCCTACTGAAATCCTACCACAACTACTTTGTCCTTTCTGGGCTTCACTGGTTGTGTACGTAACTCTGAATTCTGGGATTATTTATCATTCACTCCGTGTGAGGTTATTATCTTACAATTGTTTCTTTCCAGTTAAATTGTGAGTGTGCTTCCACCCTTCTGTGCTTAGGAAATAACTGGAGATCTGCCAGCTCTTGTAGACTTGATAAGTATTTTGCTGCAAAGCTGTAGTGAGACCTGAGTTCAGGTGTGCCTCCTGGAATGACACAGTGAAATTGGGTTGAAAGTACCCCATAATCTGAGTGAAGGGATTTTGTATATCAGAGGTGAAACAGAAGAGTGACAGTCCATGTTAATTCTGCAGTGAAGAAAAACTGAAGTGCTTGTACAGAAAAGCCAAGTTTCTTCCTTGTGCTTAACTTTCCAAGCAGATTTCACACATGAATGGGGTTCTTGCTGTGACGTGTTGTAGTTATGTAATGTCTCGAAACAGATTTTGCAATGCAGAAGCCAAAAGGGGAACCTTCCCCCTTGCCAAATACAGAATGAGGTAAACTTTGAAAGATGCAGAGCTTCTTTTGATCTTGCTGTGGAAGCCACATAGGTGGTTTTCCTTTCTTCCCCTCTGACCCCCTTGGTCTCTTCTGATGGTAAATTAGTTGGAGACTGGAACAGAAGAACAGAATGGAAACTAGTTCAACTCATTTTTCCCCTTGGAAACAAACTTGCTCATTCAAAGAATTGCCTTAGTTCTCAAGTTGCTTGCAAAAAAAGGTAACTTTATTGCAGCTTCTGCAATATCAGCACGCCTTTTAGAATTTGCTAAATGTTTTAGAGAAGTGGACTGATAATTAGAGCAGCAGGCGTATGCACATGTGTAAAATAGACTTGCAAATATCCTGCAGTTCAAGTTTAGCTGTATGTGTATGAAAAAATCCATATCTGTACCTAACTTATGCTGCAATCTCTTTTGCACCTAGTAAACAACTGTAAAATTAGTCTTCTTTCTTAATTACCTCCTTGAAAGACCTGGAAATGTGGATCTCGTGCTGCTTTCTTCAAAGCCAACCAGCCAGTTCAGTTATGTTGAGGCAACTCTGTTTTGCAAAATAACCGAACAAATGCAAATGTATTTGAATCTTTAAATAAGCACAAAACCCAAAGATGAGTAAAACGTTACCCCCGTGCTCAGTGATGTTGTAATGGTATCCTGTTCTAAATTAAATTCCAGGCTAACCTCTGCTTTGTGGATGTAGACAACCATTTCATCGAGCTGCCAGAAGACCTACCCCAGTTTCCAAATAAACTTGAGTTCATTCAGGAAATTTCAGAGATACTGATGGCTTTTGGAATTCCACCTGAGGGAAACCTTCACTGCAGTGAAAGTGCCTCCAAGATGAAGAGCCTCAGAGCATGTGACCTGGTTTCTGACAAAAGAAATGGGAACATAGCAGGATCACCTCTGAATTCCTATGAGCTGCTAAAGGAAAATGAGACTATTGCAAGACTCCAAGCACTTGTTAAAAGAACAGGTGTGAGTCTAGAAAAGGTAAGGTATGAAATTACCTGCACTCTCTCTGGACCTGCAGTAGATGATGGTCTGAAGTCCCGGTCCAAAGATGCTGTTTGTCTGTCCTCAGTAGAAAGAACTTTATGTTAACATGTTCACAAACCTTGTGAACACCTGTAGAGACAAGGGCAAGCTTAGGGGAGAGAGGGAATGGGATTTAACCCTGCAGCATCTGTGAAAACCTTTACTGTCCTCCAAGTATTTCTTTGCCAAGATGATGTGTTTAAAAATAACACCTTGCCTTGTTCTTGGTTTTAAGATTTATTCTAAATTGGCACCACTTTATTATGACTTCAGTGGCTAAAATTGTCATCTAGATAATCTTGAAGTTTGAATCTAATCTGAGTTTCTATAGATTCCTTTCTCTCTGTGTTTAGAATAGATATATATATATAATTTTGTTTGTATATAATATGTTTGCCATAGGGATACTGTGATGCTTTTTTCTGATTGATGTTATAAAGTGCAGTAGTGTCTGATTCCCAGAAAGTGGATATGCACAGCTTGTGGTGATCCTGATTGTATTTTTTTGAGTGATCAGAATTTTGGGGGGGAAAGTTGTGGCCCTTTTTGCATAAAAGGTTTTATTTCTTGCATGTTTAAATTAGCTATACCAGCTCTTCGTTGCTGAGGCTGATTCCTACCTGTGTAACTGTGGCTTGGGGTGCAGGTGGAGCCCAACAAAGACAGAAATTGTGTGACCTGAAGCAGGCTGGGGTTTGAGCTGCTTTGTGGGCTGGGAGCTACAAGAAGCAGCACTTGGTTACTGGGCAGGATTGGATGCTCAAGCCAACTCTGTTCCTCTTCTCAGATTTTTCTTTTGCCTTGTTTTCTTCTTGTTCAAGGGAGAATTGGTAAAAGGCTTTTGTTCTTTTGCTGAACGGGTTGGGAAGTGATGGGGAAAGTACAGGTGTCTTTAATTTCTTTTCAGTTTTTGCACATTCAGGCCTCATCTGCTCTGTACTCCCTGAGGTCCCATTTTACCAGCCCTTTTTGTTACGATAGGAATGTATAGATTTTTAACTGTCAAAATTTTCTCGAGTATAAAAAATCTGCCTTAATGCCAGATACCAAATTAATGAGGAATGTGCTACTCACGAGCTACACTTGGAAGAAAGGTGTGAGTAGCACAGCTCACTAGCAGAGAGCATGACTGTGTTTATTTATAGCCTGTCCTGGACTGCTAGAGCCAAGCTGCTTTAAGCAGTGTGGGACAGCTGCAGCCCTGCATCATTGTGCAGATGTTGTAAGCTCTAGAGATTGACTAATTATGTGTGGTGGTGCCTTTTATCATAATTAACAAAGGCAGGAGTAGCAAATGTGTATTCAAACTAGTGCTTGAATGCTTGTGCATTTGTTTATTTTTTTCCCCCTAGATACTCAGTTCTTATCAAAACTAGTGTGAAATGAATAGCTCAGTCTCATATTGCTGTTTTTATAAATCTTAGCCCACATCTTAACTGAAAATGCATTTTCTTTCATTAAAAATTACTCTGTGGGGTTGTAATGACTGAATTGTGAATTATGCTGCTAAGGACTTAGGTTAAGGGAAATGGTTACTAGACATGCACAGCTGCTTGTTACTGTGCATTTGTCTTCATTTGAAGGCTGGTATGTATTAAACATTACCACTACTAAACCTGGACTTATTTTATACCAGAAGACGTATGGATTGTCTAATATACTAGTTTTTAGGGGAAGTAAAAGCTCCTAAAAAGCCTATGCAGGTGATCAAAGGGTAAAAAAAGTAAATTAATATAGTGCATACATGGGCATGTATATGATTGTTATTTACCCTTTTAAAATCCAAAGTATGTAAAATGTAATAATATGTAATAATAAGATGTTTTGATGTTGCTGTTTTCTTACAGTAGTTGAAACAGTAATTTTTTAATTGAAACGTTGACTTGAGGAGTAGCAGCTGAATGGCAGATTAGAATCTTGTACACCCAGAATACCTGACAAAGCAGCAATACAAATTATTTGTGTGTTCCCTTACTTTCTCAGTTGGAGGTGCGAGAGGAGACCAGTAGCAAAAAGGATCTGAAAATTCAGTGTGATGAAGAAGAATTCAAGATTTACCAGCTGAACATTCAGATTCGTGAAGTTTTTGCCAACCGCTTCACACAAATGTTTGCGGATTACGAAGTATTTGTCATTCAGCCCAGCCAGGACAAGGAATCTTGGTTTACAAACAGAGAACAGATGCAAAACTTTGATAAAGTAAGTTGTAATGATAAGATATGTCAATGTAAGAAGTAAAACAGTATTCAGGACCTAAGGCTTTGTTTATTGGGCCATCAAATGGAAAACAGTACTGTCAAAATTGTAATTTCTTCCTCAAATTTCAGTGTTCCAAGAAAAGTCACATCTGGTATGTGATGTAGAAAAATATATACATATGCAGAATTAGAGAGCTAAATATATTCTTTTAAGGATACTGTAGAAAAATACAACTTACTTTAGAAAAATAGCTTAGAAAGCCTCACTTTAGGGCTGGCTTCTACATTAAGGTTAAATATTACTACTGAAAACTGTTTGAGTTTTAACCAGAGGAATTGCTGAATATGTGAATTAAGTCATGACCCTAAGTAATGCTTATGTACTTGTGTACATGTGTACCAAATGTATTCCCAGCGCTTTTCTAGGGAAACATAAGGCTCAGTTCTTCAAATTTTTGTACTGTGTTCTTTACTGGAGATCAGATATTTGTCAGCAGGATAGTTTCTGTGGGTGAAGATTATGTTGCAGCACTGTCTGCTGAAACATTAAGCTTATTCCCATCAAATTGTATGAAATGATTCCTATCAGCTTCATAAGCTTTGAGCTCAGCCAGAAGTACATAATATGTACACCTGTGGTATTGTTGGTGAAGTTTGCTGGGATTCTGTTGAAATTTTTATAAAATTAAGGAAAAGCTAAAATCACAGCTGACCAATTATTGTGCTGTATAGGACGTGATTGTCCTGATACTGAAGATTTCATATGGACTGCCTGTTTTGGGGATAGAACTGATGTGTGTGATAAAAGTAGGCCTGAAGTGGCAACAAAGCACTCTTAATATGTCCTTATTTAGGAAAATTGATGCTTTTGGGGGATGTCTCTTTCTGCAGGGTCCCAAAAACACTCTTACCTCTTCTTTTCTGTTAGGCATCTTTCTTGTCGGACCAGCCTGAACCTTACTTGCCTTTCCTCTCGAGATTCCTGGAGACCCAAATGTTTGCATCCTTTATTGACAATAAGATTATGTGCCATGATGAAGATGATAAAGACCCTGTTTTGAGAGTATTTGATTCTAGGGTGGATAAAATCAGGCTGCTGAACGTCAGGACGCCGACTCTGCGCACATCCATGTATCAAAAGTGCACAACCATTGATGAGGCTGGTGAGAGTAATGAGGCACTTGCTTGGCACTTAGTGCAACTAACCACTGCTATTTGTTGTAGATATTAGGGTTAAAGTTAAGTAATAATTTATGCTTTGAAACCTCAAAAAAAAAAACAAACCACCAAAAAAGCTGAGGTGTAAAGCTTAAATGTTATATAGGAAGCTGAGATGTGAGATGAAATTAATGTCAAGTTTAATTGAACTCAGCTGTTTTCCTGCATGCTTTGTGTGTGCAAAATGAGCTTAAGAAGATAAACATTTTTCTGCCTTTGATGGCAGTTCTCTGATGTCTGAAATGCTCTTGTAGTAGTGTACCTGTTGGAATCAGTGAGAAATTGCCACCTATTCCTTTAAATTTGAGACCCACTTTTAATTGAGGATGTGTGATTACAGATACATGTCTGATTAAAATACCTTTAAAAAATTAACTTTCTTGCTATTTCAGAGAAATCTATTGAATTAAGGCTAGCAAAAATAGATCACACAGCAGTCCACCCACACCTGCTGGACATGAAAATTGGACAAGGGAAATATGAGCTTGGATTTTTTCCCAAGCTTCAGTCTGATGTTTTATCCACTGGACCAGCAAGCAACAAGTGAGTAAGCTGGGGCAACAGGTACTGAATCGTGGCAAGATCTATAGAATGACACTAAAGCAGAGATACCAGAAAGCAATGTCAGTTGTGGGGTTGTTTTTTTTCCAAGTGGGGGCACATCAGATGATGTGGTTGGGTTGTTTGGAGTGGTGGGGTTTTTGCTGTGTCTCTTTGGTTTTTTTCCCCTTTTTTAAATCTGGGCTTCCTACAGCAATTTTACTTAAGAAAGCCCTGTTATGTTTGAGATGATAGTTGGTGTACTCTGAGTTACTCAGAATTACTGTCAATATAAAACCAGATCCCCTTATTATATCTCAGGTAGGAGCTACCATATGTTTTAGAATATTTTCTTATAAAAGCTTTCAATGCAGAGGAAAAAGGCTTAAATTGTCACTGGATATCATAAGAGAATGGAAAACCACAAAGCAAGTATTATGTTATCTGATATTCTGAAATATTTTGGTTGCCCAAATATCCTGATTCCTCTACAGAGATCCTTTTTGTGTATTTGCAGCTGCACTTTGGCTGATGTAATTGGTGTCAACATGTTCAATATAGGATTAGCCAGAAACTTCTTGCTGCCTCTGCCCTTTCCCCAGCTCCTGACATTTGCTTAACAATATTCCCCATCTGCAGGTGGACAAAGAGGAACGCCCCCGCTCAGTGGAGGCGGAAGGACAGACAGAAGCAGCACACAGAGCACCTGCGCCTTGACAATGATCAGAGAGAGGTGAAAGTTGTTCAGCTATAGAGATCTGATCTTTTCTTGCCTAATTGCCTGCATGATGCTCTGTAACCTTCATGAAATGTCTAGACAGTTACTTACAGTCCATGTCTGCTCTGCCTTAGGTGTATTTTTAATACAAATGGAGTTCCCAGTCCTTACCAGACCAAAAATACTTAGGTTTTTTTATTATAAAAGTTATGTCATTTTTACCACCTTTCAGGACAAAATTATTTCATTCCACGTGTAGGAGAGTTCCCTGAAAATATAATCACATGCTTTAAAGGTGTTTTGGGTTTAAAAAAAAACAAAAAACAAAAAACAAAAAACAAACCACCAACACAAAAACCAGTGAGGGGAAGAGTGAAATTAACAGTTTATCCATCTATTTCCCATCTCTAAATAACCTGTGCTTCTTTGGTGTATTTGATGAAGGAAAGAAAGATAACCACCTCTAGAGCGTGATTAATTGGACCCTAAGATCGGAATTATTGCCTTTTGGAGTTGCCTGTTTGTCTTCTGTAGGCCATAAAAGAAATCTTAAGGTGGCAAACTGACAGACAACCTCATGCTAAGGTGGGAATGTGAACCCCACTCATACTGTCATGTTTGTCTGCCTGTTTTTACACAGCACAGTCTGATGCTGATTTACCCCCACCTTCTGAACTGATAACATCTCCCAGCACTGCTCCTGCAGCTGACACAGTACTCTTTGTGGTGAAGTGATTTTGAAAGATCTGGGTGACGTAACTAATTACAGTACAGTTTCTGATTCCTGTGATACAGACTGCAAACTGTTACACTGGGTGTTGATTTATGGGTAACTCCAAGAATAGTCTGGTTCAGAATACCAGAATTTTTTTTTCCAGTAACCCCAGAGCTTTCCTCTTGTTTAAATATATGTTGTTCATTGAAGACAATATTCTCTTGCCTTGTTAAATATATTTAGAAAAGCTTCATTTGGAATTTTAAAGTCGTAGTAGTCTTGTATCTGTTAGGATAATGTTGTCAAAATCAAGTATCTTTGTCCAATTAATTGCCTTTCCAGTGTACTCATTCCCAGAATTTTCTTACTGGTTTTGTTAAAATTTTGTTTAATTATAGTGCCATCTCTGTCATCCATAACCATGTAACAGAGAAATGTCTATGTAATAAAAAAACCCTTTGAGTAGTTTCTGGCTTTGACATGTTCCATATGCTCTGTTAACTCTAAAGTGCTTTTTACTTAGAAGTAACAGAAATGAAGAATAGTTGGTTTGCAACCTCATTAGTCTGCTAAACAACACAGTTGTTAAAGCATGTAAACTACTGAGATGTCACCTAGGTAATTAAAAAGACAAAATTCTACCTCTAGCTTTGGAGGGGGGATGTTTGTTTTGTTTTTTAACTGATTCCTCACAAGTTCATCGTCCTATAGGAGTTATTCCGTCACACAAGGCAAGTAATTTCTGAGGAATAAAAATTTTAAAATACGTGCTCAGGTGAGGGTACCAACTGCCAGTGAGAATTGTGCTGCTGTTTTAGGGGTTTGTGTTGTGCCTTTTTGATGACATAATGCTGATGGAACACTGACCCCTTCTCCTGGGTGAACCTCAGACCTCCCCCGTAAGTTTGAGAGACTGGGGAGGGAGCCCTTCTGGGAGGAGCACTGGGGGTCAGGCTGAGCAGGAGGCAGTGCTCCCAAAGGGCAGTATCGTGAGTTTTAGACAAATGGAAGCTTTGGGGCAACAAAAATCTGTGCAATTGAGACTTAGGGGCTTTTTGCTTGCAAATATTTGTGCCCAGTGGAGGGCAGAGTTTACACCGATCCGCTGATATAACACTATCTTTTGTTTTTTTCCTTTCAGATTCATTGCTTGTGAATTTATTTTTATGTTGAATGCTTGGGAGTTCTGCATTGTATTATCTCTTCACTCTTTTCCTTTTATGTTTTGCATGCTTGCTTTTCTTACTTCATTTGTGCTTACCACTTTCACTTTACATGGTCTGCTTGGCTTTTTGCTACCAACTTATCCTGCCAGCACCTGGACTTTTCCATGTCAGAGCTTCCGTTGCAGTTATGTTTAGACTGGGACCAGCATGATTGGCCCTTCATGCCCTCTATAAAATCTGTGTCAGAGCATTATCTGGTATGTCCTGTGCACAATATGGCTGTAATCATAGTTCTGGATAAAGATGCATAATTAAAAGTATATGTCATAGCTTTTTAGTGCAAGGTCAGTGGAGAAGGTGGCATTTTCCCTCTTTGCAAAGAGTGTCGTGTTTGACAAATCTATTCACTGACATTTCGGTCAGTCATTATTTCAGTGTAAGATGCAGAGGTTACCCGTTCATGTGAAATATATACTAATATGTACTAATCCTGAGTGCCTGTACGAGACTTTCTCCTTATCACTGATTCACAGTTAGCTGTGCCCCAATCAACCCGTGATCACCTGGTTTTCAAAACATTTGTCATATTATTCTTGTCTCTGAGTGAAAACAATGGCAACTCCTTGATGACAGTAACAGGAGCAGAAAAGCTCTTGCAAGCAGAGTGGGTTTGGGAAACAATTTTGCTCGAAAATGCATAAGGCTCACAGGTGATAGATGTTAGTAACATCTGCATTTTGCAGCTGCTTCCTGAAAGAACGAACTTTTCTTGTGGTCCCCATGTAGACCAGTTTGCCATTTGAATAGTCTTGACCTTGGTAATTTTGACAAAATTTCATTTTATGTGAAAAAAATGACAAGACAGTTGTCAGCGGTGGAGGGAGTAACTGAATCTTTATGCATCTAAATATCCTTGACAGTTCATATTGTGTTTTTCTAATTCAGCAGTGTGTGTTCTAGTTGATAGATGATGTAAATGGGGATTTGACCTCTGGTGAAAACTATTTCAGAAAAGGTGCCTTTTCTGAAAGAGGATGCGATCCTTTCCTCCTCATTGCACGAGGGTGGGTTATAAGGATAAGTTTATCCTTTTCTCTTTGCCAAGTAGTCTCACACTTGTCTGTATTTGTCAATTTTCTACCCTAAAACAGAAGTATATCCAAGAAGCCAGGAATTTGGGCAGCACTATTCGGCAGCCCAAACTGTCTAACCTCTCTCCATCGGTAATTGCACAAACCAACTGGAAGTTTGTAGAGGGCTTGTTGAAGGAATGCCGAAATAAGGTAATACAGAGAATAATTCTGTGCTCTTGCACCTCATATCCATCCTTTATGGACCATTTTCTATCCAATATGCTTGAACCCCCTTTTTCCTCCACCTGTTTCTGCTTTACCCCTATGAAGATTTTTACATGGTGGTGAGAAATTCATGAAGAGATAATGTATTTAGGAATTCTGCAAGGAATAGAAACTTTGTCAAGCAGATTTATGATGGAAAGAGATTGAATATTCTGATGGGTCATTGCCATCCCACTGCCCATGTCAATTATAGCACATTTCAGTTATAACTAATGAGACTATGATATTTCAACAAGTGAATAGTCCAAAAGAGGAGCTTATGGTGAAAATACAGCAGCTTTTCTCATAACTAAAGGGTTTGAGTTAATAAGCTTCTGAAGTGTGACTTTTTAAGCACTTAACAAGTTTGGCATTAGTTTGTAGACATACTTCACCAGTTTATATTTGACAATATATTATTCTGAAGTTAATATTCATGTGTATACTAATACAGTAAAGGGAGTAATTATGAAGTAGACACATTCTGGCTTTAGGTCACTGGAGGTACTATAGCAGTTACATACTAGTTTCTGTAGTTTGAGTTGGTGAGAGCTTTGTTGACCAGCATGAAGTTGTGCACAATTTACTCTGTGGAGGCTGATGTGCCCATTTACAAACCCCTTTTCAGAAAAACAGAAGAGGTGGTAAAGCAATCAACACTAGTGCTCTCCTGGCTTGAAAACCAGGGATAAAAGAAGTAGAGCACTGCACAAGTGCTGGAAATGTATTTCTGTCAGTTATTCTGCCAAATCTTTATCATGTGCTTCCTTGTTGGTTATTTAAAAAGTGCAAGGGATCTTGGAGGTTCCTGTGGAAAGAATGAACTCTCTTTTGCTTTGTCCTTTTTCAGACCAAGAGGATGTTGGTTGAGAAAATGGGTCGAGAAGCTGTGGAGCTGGGTCATGGTGAAGTGAATATCACAGGTGTGGAAGAGAATACCCTGATAGCCAGTCTGTGTGACCTCTTAGAAAGGATCTGGAGCCATGGTCTGCAAGTCAAACAGGTGAGGACCAAATGTTCTTGTACTTTGCAGAGCACACATTTCTTAAGTTGTGTTATGCTCTTCCTCTCTCTGCTTTCAGAGGATACATTTTGTGTGTATTAGATGTGTTAAAATACTCGTGTTACCCTCGGTCTTTTTGATGTCAGTTCCTGCCCCCTGTCTGTCTCCACATTTTATTCTGGGGTATGTGCAAATGTACATGTAGATGTGTTCCACAGATGACTCCTTGGAAGACTTGCTGTTTAACCTGGGGGTTTTCTTTGGTTTGGTGGGTTTTTATAATTATTTCTGTGTTCATAATACTTTTGTTAATGAAGTTGCATAGGTTGCAAGGCAGCACATGCTACAGGTGCTGTCAGTGGGATGTGGTGTGGGGAAATTGTTTTCATGAAGGATAATTTAGTTCTTCAGAGTAAAAATCTTGCTATTTTGGTTCTTCCTGAATAATGTAGGGGTACTCAAATGATATTTACAAGATCACTAGCTAGAGGTGTTGGGTTTTTGTGTGAAATTAATAATTGTTTACTGTGCTCTTCTGTTTAAAGTCACGCATGGGTCTAGATGGAGTTTGGAAGGCCTTTATCAACTTTCCTTCTCCTTGGTACAAAGGAGTAGTAAGGGCAGAGAGGATTATAACTTTTTTTTAAAAAATATGCAGAATAAATGTATGTAATCCAGACAACTGTAATCCAGTATCTCTGTTCCCAGCAACCCGAGTGCCAGTGTTTAAGTCTGCTCTCCTTCAAACTATATAACAGTTCTCTATGTGAAGATTTATGATGTGATTCTCTCCCTTCCCTCTTGTATATCACTTAGGATAGAAGCTGTACTGCTTTCGTCTTAGAAGACAGAGCATCAGTATACTCTGCTTCAACTCAGATTTGGGCTTTTCAGACCACCAGACGGCCAACCCTTCATAAGGTTAATGCTTTGGATTGATTGCAGATGTTGGCAAACAGTGCTGAATGGTGGAATAAATAGAGTGGTGGAATAAAATAGAGGCCTGATGGAGGAAGTGCAGTGTATCTCATAGTATGATCCAGAGTTTAAAAAAAAAAAATTAATAAAAGCACCACCAGTTCTCTGTGTGCTCTGGCCTTAATGAAATATGCAAAAGCCTGCTGTTTCATACATCGATTTTATTTTATTTTTCAATAATAAGCCAAGGAAGACTCTTCTTTCTCAATTGACCATAGTAATGAGGATGGCTTTCCTTCCACCAATCCCTGCTTTTACCTCCTCCCTGCTGATGAACCCTGATATTCCTACATTAGCTGCCTACCGATTCTTCCACGTGCAAAGGGAATCCACGCCTTCCATTGTCCTGAGCAATGTAGGGGAGTCAGATGTAGGATCTAATGACTAAAGTAGTCTGGACTTTCCGAAGGCCTTGGTTATTCCCTTGCCCATTCTCTGTCCCACTGCTTCCCTTAGGCTGTCTTCCTTTCCCCTATAGATCCAGCTTGCATCATCATTGCTATTTGGTGAAGTTAAAGGAGAGTGACTCGATGGTGAAGGAAGCGGGCAGACATACACTGCATGAGTTCTTACATTCATCATGGTTGTTGACATCGATTTGCTGCAGGATCCTTTGTTGCTGCTTTGTGTGATCTGTTGCAGTTCTCCCTGCCATGGCAGCTGGTTGCTGAACACTGGACTGTGTGTGTGTGCATGTGTGTGTTTATTGAGAGAAGCGCCGTTTTGGATGCAGCTCTTCACTGGTTGATATTTTTCATGCTCTCTTTTTTATGTGTTTGTAAGACCTTCAGTTTTGGCTTTCCACGTTGGATCTGTCAGGTACACACAAGACACAATGAGCTTCTCTGGATTTTTTTTGTATCTTCACCACTGAGTGCATATTTTTAATAGGTTTCTCTCAACACAGATGTCACAGACACTCTAGGATTTCATCTTCTGTAGGCATGCAAATCCCTCGTGGTCAATAGTTCTCTATGTCAGCTGTAAGGAGCTATAGGATGGAAGTGGTTAGAGATTTTTAAATATAGTTTAAAAAAATAAAGAGGAACCATCATTACTGCACCTCTGTGAAGGCATTTAGATGATTTTAGAAGAAATTGGTAGTGCAGAATTGCCAACTCTTACTTTACATGGTTTCTTTCTGCACAAAGTTGTAAATAAAAATATGACCTTATGATTGCTGTTCTAAATTGCAGAATTGCTAAATCTTTACGGGGATTTCAGGTTAATTAATACAATAATTTAGGAAGGTTATAAGTAATACTAATTAACTTCCTCTGTAAGTAATTCCAGTTAATATGCTGCAAAGCCCCTGTTCACTTACTGCTGCCTTTCTGCAGCTTTACAAGCTTTTGGTTTATCATGCAGAATATTTTAGGATGAACCCAAGAATCTTTATAGTTTCCCAGAGAAAGATTTTCTCACACTCTACTTTAAGCCACCAGAGGTTTAAGAAAACAACACAATGCGCTTTTTAACATAATTTGATGGATTTATCTTTTATTTTCATACCAAATTCCAACTTTTATTGCAGAACTGGGGTATTTTTGCTGATAAGCTTTCGCTGCCCTGCTTGTGTTTTGGGATGTCTTACTGTGTTTGTGATTATCCAGGTCCTTTGCCTGATGAAAGGGGATCTTTTGAGGTTCTAAAAATTGGCAGCATGTATCTGTATCCCTGAGTGACCCTGAAGGGAGTAGGTGCACATGACTTGGCCTGGGTGTAAGATGTTTTTCTCAGGCTGGCTCCATGTCTCTTGTCATTTCAGTGCTGGAGAGGCAGGGAGGGAAAGATACAATAGTGCAGGTTATAGGATTTAAAACTCTACTTGCACATAGTGTTTTACAAACCTTTGAATGTTTTCTTGTCATGTTAATGAACTATGAGGAAAGAAGTTCAATTGGCTTTTTCCTGTCACCAGAATCATTAGATCCCAATAGTTTGACTCTTGCTTTTCTTTTTCAACCTCTTTACAGCTCCCAAGCGCCTCCAGCTTGTGTCTTATTTTTTATTTTTACCAATGAGTTTGTAGGAAGAAACATATTTAAAGCGAGTTTTTGTCATGGCTGATACTTTCAATGATGACCTAAACTTTTTTTTTTCCTAAATTCAGCTGATAGTGATTTCCTTAACTAATATATTTTTTTTTTAATTTTAGGGAAAGTCAGCTCTGTGGTCTCATCTGTTACATTACCTGGAAAACAGGCAGAGAAGAACCACATCAGGCAGCTTCAGTACCTCAGGTAAGATTGGCATCTGCTGGAAGATGGTGATAAAAAACTGTAAGAGCTGCCTGCACATGTGCACCATGTAGAGTTTGTTTCCTTGGAAATACCCTTCACTCAATAGAACTGAATCAAGTGTTCTGTCAGCTACAGGATTCATATGGGCCTGGTGTATTGTCTCGAAATATTTTGTGAAAATAAACTGGTTTGTACGGAGCCCACTTGTTTGGGTCTGGTACTTGACTGCCATGGTAGTCAGAGACCAGAAATAGCTGATGCTTCACAGATAGGCTTTAAAATGGATTGTTCCAATGTACCACCCTCCCTGTGACACACAGTCACTGCATGACTGGCAAAGCAAATGATGTCATGGATGGGGGTGGAAAATGAGTATAAGCACAGAAAACTGTGCTGTACATCCCGAAGTTTTACATCCTTGCTTGAAAAACAACTGAGCAGTAGGCTTGTTTATAAGCAAAAGTCATTTAAAGAAACAAAGAACCTGAAGAAACATACTTTAGTTTTTGTTAATCAAGCGTTGCAGTATAATCTGTTTCTAGGGTTATTAATGTAATTTTTAAACATTAACTTCTTTTGTCAGGTGGGGGCATAGAATATAAATTTGGAGAGAACAATGGGTTTGGGGGAGGCAGTGGGTGCCTTTTATTTTTTATTTGAAGTTGCTGTAGGCAAAGAGCTGATCATTATTAACATGCACAAGATCCTGTAAGCAGCCAAACTCAAAGTATTGGAAAGTATTAAGGTCTCCTAAATGTTACTGGATTCATAGTGGTTTTGCATATGAGAATGAAGTTACAATCACTTTTATGCTTTCTAGCTTGGAATTGATGGCAGGGGCTGTATTTAATATACATCTTGATTCTAGAGTGGAATTTGAAAGGTAAGACTAATAATATTGCCTGAAAACCCCAAAATGTGCAATTTGAAAAGTAGTGGTGTTACAGGAGTGTGCAAATTAATAGATCAGTAAGCACGTGATGTGTGGTGTACTGATTAAAACATGTTAAACACTGTTTTCTGGTGTCAGCAGTGCCAGTTATATAGTACACAGGAATAAAATAGGGTAACCTTTAGAAAATAACACTTGATTATTATATTTGATGTCATACCAATTTCAGCTGAAGCTAAGCTCATTAATGTGTTGATGCTCATTGTGTGCTGATCTGCATAACCGTCTGCGTAGCATATTAGATTTTCATGTCATTTGGAGTGGAAATATGCCACAGTGCCTTCACAGAGTCACCAACAATACAAGAGTGCAAATAGGTGTTAACTCACCTTCTTTTTTCATTTTGATTTTAAATGGATTTCTACTAACAAATTCTGTTCTTCTGAATCTAGGAATACTTCTTGATTCAGAAAGGCGAAAGTCTGATACCAGTCCAGCCATGTCACCTCTTAGAATCTCTCTCATCCAGGATATGAGGTGAGTTTAAACTATTAAAACCAACCCAGAAACCCCATGAGATTTACCTACTTGTTGCTGTGTATGCTGTGCACCGCACAGAAAAGCCTGTGTTTCGTGCAGCCGGGAGGGAGATGTGGGGAAGGAGCCTGCTGAACTATTTTAAAGTAGATTGTACAGCTCTTTCATTGACCTTTACAGAAACATGTTTCACATTGAGATGATTTTATATTGTCACAGCTACCAGCTTATGGAAATACCATGACACAGTTTTCATATTTTTAAAGTGTTCTGTATTGGTTTGTTTCCACAGAGGTACAGGTGCAGTGTGTGTGTTTTCCCAGTTATTGCCAAGTTGGTAGTTCTGAGCCCGTTCTTGCTTCTCAGTGAAGAAAGCAGTTTAGAGGACTTGTTTGGTCTAAAGAATGGGTTTATTTAACATTGAGTACTGTAGTGTGAATAAAACTATAGGTACTGCCCGATGCCTTCTTTTCAGTACATCAAAAAAACAATATGCAGAACTTCTAAATTAACCTTGGAAGGATTTTTCTTTCCTCCTTTTTCCTTACCAACATTTATTTTTTCCAGAGGGAGGAGGAGTGAATTGAGGATTTGCTTGCCCTCTTAAAATATACCATTTGTGTCTTTTATGTAAGAAAAGCTACTACTGAGCATGCAAAGACAGTATTTAATTTTCCAAAACACTCAGCCATAAATATTGCAGTGATAAGGTCCAGAATGATTCTTAAATCATGTGAGACAATGGGCCTGGTTTAGAATTTTGTAAATAGGGCACTGCATTGCAGATATTTCTGTTTCAGGCTCTTTCTCTTTTTGAGCTAGATATGCAAGGATTTTTGATTGTACTGAATATTAAGGCGATTATGTTTCTTTTTCCATTAATTTACCTGATATTTTATGTTCTTTGCAAAACTTCTTCAGCCTTGGTGCAAAAGAACTGTCACATTTTGACAATACCTGGCAGTGTCTTTTTTTTTTTCCTTCCTAGGCATATCCAGAACATTAGTGAGATCAAAACAGATGTTGGCAAGGCCAGAGCCTGGGTTCGTCTCTCTATGGAAAAGAAGTTGCTCTCTAGGCATCTGAAACAGCTGCTTTCAGATCATGAACTCACAAAGTAAGATAGTTTATCTTGGGCAAAGGTTTTTAAAAAAAAATTAAATCTGTTTAGTTGTTTGACTTCAAAACCCCAGATGTGCCTATTCTCCCATCTGCTTAGCAGTGAGCAGGAGGCACAGAACAAACCAGCCTTCCAAGTGTGTCTCCTTATCAATGTAGGAGCTGTTTGGGAATTAGGATTCAATACTGGGGTTTTTCACATAATTTTTTGCATTTATAGCCTACCTAAGAACATAAGGTGAATTGCTTTCATAATAGTAAAATATCTGCTAAAACCAAAAAATTTTGTTTTTATTATTTCTCCCAAACATTTCAAAATATGTGACTTTTAATTCCTTGTATATGAAGTCATAGAAAAAATTATGAGAAGACCCAACCATTGAGTCCCAGAACACTATTTAAAGAGTACTGTGAGAAGAAAATGAGACAAGTATATGACATAAGAGGGAGAGGAGGATGTGAGTGAAAGCTGAAGACTCTACTTCAGGCTTAAACTGTGTCGAAAGTACTCTGTGCCAGGGCTTTTCATAAGTGATTATGTTCAAGGGCAAAAGGAGAAATCCTCAGCACAAGGACCTATGTACTTGGTGATGTCCAGAGCATTATATTGCCTTTGTAAACATAAATAATTATTTTGTTTATAGTTGCACAGATCAGAACACAGGCCACATGTAATACTAATTGTTTTAGGAGCAACAATTTGATGTTAATTTAGTATAACCTATGCAGAAAAAAAATGTGTTACTGATAAGGTTGGATATACTGTTTAATGTGTGGAAATTAAAGCCATAATAATTGTCATTAGCTTTAATTGAAGACTTCTCTTTGGAGACAGTGTAACCTGTGCTGTCTGCTCTTCCTTTCCTCTCGTTCCACTTACCACCTTCCAAGGAATTTCTTTCCTCTCCCAATCCCCCTGAACCCCAGCTGCTAATTATTTGAGATTTGTCTTGTGTTGTTTTATGCTGGACTTTCTGATGAAGTTGTGGCCTTCCTTCAGTGAACAAGGAAAAGCTGAAGGACAGAGCAAGGACAGCTGATAAATCTACCTGTATCTCTAAATCAAGGTTAAGCCTCTCCAGGGAAGTCAACAGTTCAGATGATGTTATATTTGGCAGTGCTTCTCCCACGCAGAGCTAAGTGCTGTGAGAGAACTTTCCACGCACCATCACGTTCCATGCCCTTCCCCACAAAAAGAGAATTAACACCCCAACTTTCTTAACAGCTGGCCAGTGTACTGTTCATCTGTGAGGCAGATTCTGATTCTCTAGAACAGAGCGAGACAGCAACAAAAATAGGTTTAAAATGAAAGTGACAAGGAAAGGAGCAAACTTGCACAGAAATGACATCAATTCTTTGTAATCCTGTGTGCTTTGTGCATATTTAGATATCCTACTTAAAGACAGCTGTTCTAGGCAGCATGTTTTTAAAGTGTGTTCCACTTGGTTTTAGAGGAAGCAGTGCCAAGTTCAGTGAGGTACTAAAAGTAATTGTGCAACTTCTGCCATTTCACAGTTAGCAGGATTGTGTGGTGGTCTTTTTTGAAGCCACTGTTAGATATTTTAATTAACCTATCCTCTTAACTTGACATTTGCTTAAAATTATAAGGAAACTGTAACGTGTTTGGTTTCTTGCTAGTCTGCAAAGGGGCTAGAGTTAGGGAAGAAGAGGAAATCACACAACTTCACTGAAAGGAGACCTGTGTGTGCACAAGGAAACTGAGAAACCTTATCTTTGAAAAGATGGGATAGCACATACCCTGACAGGCTGTCAAACACGTTGATTCAGATTGTTCAAATTAAACATGGACATGGGCACCTGTGAGACCCTTTGTGGGTTTGAAACTCCTGTGGCTACAGGCAGGTTTGTTGATTTGAGGCTCAGTATCTTTATTTCCATTGAACATTTCCTGTCAGTCTCCAGTGTCAGGTTTGTTATGTAGGTGAGAACATATCTGTATGTTGGTCATCATTGATTTGTTTTGCAAGTTTCTATCTTGGGAGTAATTTGATGACTCTTTTGTAAATTGATACTGAAATTGAGGGGAGTTGTCAGGATGCCCTCCTGGCAGAAGCCACCACCTATCCATGGCTGTCAGCATTTCTAATACCTAATTCCTGCATTTGTGATGGTTTGGATATTCCTCTAGCATCGGTTGGATTTTGATACATCTTGGCATGCTCTTCTTTTATGATTATTCACCAACAGTGGTATTATTTATTGGCTACATAATTAACAAAAATAGTGGTGATTGCTGTGTAGAAGTGAGTAACTTCAAGAGTATTTTCCAGCTGAAATTTGCACTTGGAAGCTTCTCATTTGCATGTCTTGCAGTGTGAAATTCTCTCATGTGTTTGAGTAATTTCAAAAAGTATATAAGATTGTTTCAGTTTACAGTGCATTCTTCCGCATAGGCATTGGTGTCTCCACTAGTAAGGAAAGGCCACTGAGATACATCTGTTGATAGTGCCACTTAGCACAAGTTGCAGTTCTGTGTGGCATTGCAGTCCTAGCAGAGTTTACAACCCAGTGAAAGGGAACAGCAGGACTTTAGGCCCCCTTTGCATGCTTATCATTTTGGTTATGTCAGGTGCTGTGTACTGTTCTCTGGCTTAATGTGTGGGTTGTTGTAGGCCCTATAACTAAATACAAGCAGATAGTCTCAGTGTTTGCCCTGATGTCCTTTAAAAGGTGTCTCCTAACTGTGCTGGAGAAGTTTTCCGTGGCACCCTCTGCTCAGAAGTAACTTAGGATGACTCTCTTCAGTTCTGTCATTTTACATTGCCAAAAGAAGTCAGTTTTTTTTCTTTTTCCAAGAAAGGACAAAATTTTTTTTCCATCTTGGAGTGTTTTTGTGTGGGACAAGACCCTCAGACAAAACCTTGCTTTCAGGAAGTGGAAGATATGTGAAGTACTGGACTGATGTACTTGGGAGACTTCAGACTTGCAGAGGTTCAACATATCTTGGCACATTAAACACTCTCGACTCTACCAGTATCATTTGTAATTGCTTGTCCATTATTCATAGTGTGCCTAATAAATATGCACAATATAAAGCATTTCACTGAAAGCATCTTGTTACTGTGACAGATTATGTGTTTTGCTTTGTCAGAAAACTCTACAAGCGTTACGCATTCCTCCGCTGTGATGATGAGAAAGAACAATTCTTGTATCATCTCCTGTCATTCAATGCTGTTGATTACTTTTGCTTTACCAACGTTTTCACAACAATCTGTAAGTATTTGCTTTCCCTGGAACTCTTGATTTCCTGATTTGGTGGAAATTCTGAACAGCTCTCAGCAACATACCTTAATGTAATTGTTCTGCTTTTTTTTCTGGGATCCTTCTGCATGCTGTATTGCTATTTCTGGGATCCACTCTGGTGGGCAGGAGGATTTCTCTGTGTCACCAAAGGCTTTTGTTTCTAACTAACTTAGTAAAATCCTTTTAATTGGGGGAGAGTTCTTAGTAGAAAATTTTGTGGTGGGCTTGTTTGCATGATACTAAACCAGAACACTATGGATTCTTCACCTTCAAGGTAAGAATATTAACATGTGCTAGGAATTAAAAGAAAACAAACTTTCCTTGTTTCATGTTCAGCCTACTTTGCTGCATGCCTGTCTCTGAGTTTGGGATAACAATGAAATTCCCACTGAGGGCTGCATCAGACCTCCTCAACACATTGAAGTCCTCTTTTTCTTTTTAATTCTGTTTTCTAAAAAGATGCCCTGGAGAAGCTTTTGAACAGTTGTTAATGCTTAAATGTGTTACAGAGTTCTCAAATGGTTTGTGCGCTGTGACTGCTGCCACAGGACACGACTAGCAAGGCAAAATAAGGAAAGACTTGAGCGAGGCTCATGAAATTGGGGGTTGGGTGTGTGTGAAAGGGCCCCTGTGGATCCATGGTAGGAGCTGCCCTTGGTGGTACGTTGTGATCCATTTTTGTGCACGTGAAAGACAGAACAAACACACGTCTAAGCAAAACAGCTCTTGGTCTTGTGGGCAGGTTCTGGATAATGCTAAAATCTGGTCTGCTGGATGCAATTAAATTGTCACTTACTTTTAAGGCTATCAGCGCAGAAAATAAAAAGGGAAACATTTTAATTCATTTTTAAATGCTGCGAGCACTGAGCTTTTAAGAAAATCCAACCACCAAATGCTTTCTTGAGGGCACTGACAGCTGAGGAGACATGGAGGGAGAAATGTATTAAACTCCTCAGCTGAAAAGCCCTGACTGTAATCCGTTTATGCACTATAAAAAGAGGGCAGATAGCCAAGAAACACAGTGACCATTCAGAGAATTGGATTTTGTTGTAAGAGGCTGGTTAAAAGAAGGCTGTGCAGGAGATGCTCGGTGATGGAAGAGCACATGCCTCCTGAGTCAGAGCTGCAGCTCAGGTGATACTATATTGAGTTAGTCACAGGTAGAATAGAGGACCAGAAAGCATTTGAGCATGTGTGTGGTGCTATTTAGAACGGAAAAAAGTTGTTTGTTCTCTTTAGAAATCAAAAAGTCCTAAAGTTAGCACAGCTAAGAGCGATGTGGTACAGTGAAACTGGCAGCAATATCGTGTCTTTTTACTGAACTTGCTCAGCCACAGCAGTGATTGCTGCTGCAGTCCAGGCCTGTAAACAAAGGCTTCAGTAACTGAGTGTGATTTGGGGTAGTTGTGCCCTGGGCCTGCATCCACAGAGAAACAGGCAGGTAGGAGTTGAGCATGGAGCAGCATGCTGAGCCACAGTGCAGTCCTGGGTACAGGAATACTGTGCCTTTACTTCCTTGTCTCTGAGCTGAGGACAAGTAACCATCTTCATGGCATGTTTTGAGGCTGGTAAATGAAAAATGATTATACCCATAGGAAGGCATGATTCCATCCATATTTCTTTTTTCACTTGACACAGTTTTGCTGTCAGTTCTGCTTCTTAGTGACTGCTGTATATGTGTACACTTCCCCACTGTCAATCAGTGCTTAGTGTGCAAGTGTTAGCATGATTAGATAGCAGCTCTGATGGGTTTTTTACGTTTCATGGTACTGCAGTGTTGTTTTATGACTTATGTTTTGCCCCTCTATTCACTAAAGAGGTTAGATAACTGTCCTTCTTAATTTTTGCTATTTCTTCTTGTGTTTGCAGTGATACCATACCATATATTAATTGTTCCTAGCAAGAAACTTGGTGGCTCAATGTTCACAGCCAATCCTTGGATCTGTATCTCGGGAGAACTGGGTGAGACAGGAGTCCTGCAGATTCCCAGGAACATATTAGAAATGACTTTTGAGGTTTGTATTACTTGTTACACAGAAAATTATTTGGATATTCTGTTTGTTCAGTTTTAAATTCTCCTCTTGCTGCACCACCTTGCCATACATTTCATATCTTTAGTCTGTGTGGTTAGTCACAGGTACTTCCTGTGCCTGTACACAGCAAATTTAATCTATCTTTAATAACCAAGGATGGACAAGACGGTCTTTATATTACAATTTTGTGCTGTGATGGTGGAAGGTGTCATATCCTCTTCTGCTGGAAACAAAGAAGTGATTCTACTCTGATTTTTGTGTGTGTGTTGTGCAGTTTGGGTAAAGTTTAATTGAAAAATCTGGTTCAGCTGATGTTCTCTCTGCTGATCAAAATAATATTTAACAAAACAAAGCAAACAAACAAGAACGAGTAAAACAGCCTACCAGTAAAAAGCCCAGAACCAATCAAAGCAGTGAGAAATGGGAAACCACATTTCTGATTTTCTGTCTAGAGCACATTCTCTAATAGTTTACTCCTCTGACATGCTGCTTTCTCTCAGTTTACTCTGACAAACTCTTTGTTTAATTTACAGTGCCAGAACCTGGGAAAACTGACCACAGTGCAAATAGGACACGATAATTCGGGGCTCTATGCCAAGTGGCTCGTGGAATATGTTATGGTCAGAAATGAAATAACAGGGCATACTTACAAGTAAGTATCATCCTGACATTTCATGTTGGGTAAGTAGAATTTCTGCAGGGAGCTGGCACGGTAGGGCTTGTTTGAGCAGAAAGGTCTGATCTCCTGGGACTCTGTGTCTACAGTTGCTGCTACCTGAACGCATAGAAAGATCATTTGGCTTCTGGCATTAAACAAGTCATGGTTCTTAGAAAATTAAACAGGGTTTTCAGTTTGCAGATGCTCCTGACTAGCCTCAGACTGTTGGTGGAGAAGATGAGTTGACTATTGTGCATCTTAAAAATAATCTACCTTGAGCCCAGGGAAGACATAGCACGTCAGAGCTTGCTGCTTTCCAAATATAGGTGGCATTTTATATTGAGACCAAGTACTTTAAGTGTTATAGAGGCACCTTTGGATGCAAGCTGGAACACAAGGGCTTATGAGTGTTAGAAATCTGTGTTTGCATAGTGAAAGTAAAAGAATAAGATTTACAGTGAGAATTATATTTATTTGTGTTGGTACAGCATAGTCTGGTACCCTGTACTTTGTTCAGAGAAACTGTCAAGCTCATGTTGATGACAAATTGGTGGGTAAGTCCACTCAGTTCTCCGTGCCAGATCATTTGTAATTAAATGAAGAGGAAAGATTCTATTTTTGGATGCTGCTCAGTTTTCTGATTAAGCTGATTAAACTGGCATCAACACTGGTTAAGAGAAAGAGATAATGAGTAAGCGAGCACGTGTGCTTTCTAGTGCTTCATTTAATATCCCAATTCAATAGAAGTATTGGTGTTTCTTGGCATTGAAGTATATGTTTGGGTTGTGGGGTTTTCTTGTAGCTGGCCTGCTGTGTAGTGTTTTCAGTGAAACATAGGTGTATTTTGTTACCCATCTATGGGGTGTAGTGGGTCTTCTCCTCCTACCTCTTTTTCCTCTGCAGTCCTCAAATCATGTGCTACATGTGGGACACAAGCAAAATCTACCCCTGTTAGCTTTGCAGATCATCTAGTGCAACATTTAGCACAGCCTTGGAACTGGAAAACTGTTTTACTTTTGCTGCCTGTGCTGGCAGAAGCCAAACCCAAGGCTCTGTTGCTAGATAAATGAAGTATTTCTCGTGTCTGTACTAGCAGGATTCGGGTTTTAGGGCACTGCAGTTGAAAGTCTTTGGCACAAAATTGAATCTGAGTTGATCCGTGTATCTCCTTGATTTTCTTAGGTTTCCCTGTGGAAGGTGGCTTGGAAAGGGAATGGACGACGGCAGCTTAGAGAGGATCCTGGTGGGAGAGTTGCTGACTTCGCACACGGAGGCGGATGAGCGGCAGTGCCGAACCCCTCCCCTGCAGCAGTCACCAAGCATGATCAGAAGATTTGTCACTATATCGCCCAACAATAAGCCAAGTGAGTGCTGGGGTTGTCCTGTCTTGGACTGGGCTGCATCATCAGTGAGGGCAGCTGCTTGCAAACAGAGCTGTAGGTTTTCTTACCTTTTAGAACTGTGGCTTGGAGAGGACCTGTGAAACTCACTTAGCCCGACTCCCTGCTCAAAATCCAGTTAACTTCCAAATTACAATCCTGAGCACCCTGTTCTGTCTGCTCAAGTTCTGAAAGTCTGCAAGGATGGAAGGAAGATGTTTCTCTACTCCTGGTCCAATGCTTAGCTGCCCTTCTGGTGTTTTCTGTGTTCTTGTCTTTCATATGTGGAATGAATGCTATGGGAGGAAGGTAGAAATTTGCTGCCCTCTCTCTGTTTATGCTTCGTGGATGGAAAAGCTTGCCAGTATTTTCTCTTCATGGACTTTTGTTTGTTTGTTTGTTTTCTATGGAGATCACTCTTCTGGAGTGGCTCTTAATCTTGGTAAATTAGGTGGTTACTTTGCTCCCAAGCATCCTTGGGTTTACAGCAAAACTATCACAGGAAGTATTTCCAGGATGCCCGGATTTGCTGGTCCTACTCAAATCACAACTCCTTTTCTTAGCTTTAGGTCCTGGTCTGACAATTCACATAATATGTAAAAACTGTTTCCACCTGTTGTGTTGAAACACCACAGTGTTAAGTTCAATATAAAACCAAACCATCTCCATTTCTACCCCTTCAGCTGTAAATAAAAATAGAGTTGGGTTTCCATTGTGCACAGTCCTGCAGTGTTTCACTAACAGCCTAAGTTATACTGGTTCATGCTCCTCTGCTCTGTTTTATGGTAGCCCTTATCCCTCACACACACATACAATTTCTGAAGCTATAAAAACGTGACAGGATATATTTTTGTGTTTTGCAGAGTTAAATACTGGTCAGATACAAGAAGCTATTGGTGAAGCTGTTAATGGGATTGTCAAGCATTTCCACAAGCCAGAGAAGGAGGTGAGGAGTTGTTTGTGTAATGGCATCCCTGTTGTAAAACTCTTATTAGTAAGCATAGGAGAATATATAACAGAAATAACAAAAGTGAATGAACAGCCATCTGTCTGAAAATTCCCTAAGTGGAGGTAAAAAATGGGATACTGAGACTATACTGCTGAAACTACAGCCTCAAATACCTCTGTTTTGCTGCAAACTGGAGCATTCTGTTAAATTAAATGTTAACATTCTGGTATTGGAAATGGTGTTATTAGTCAAAGTCTGCCACGGATTCTACCCATACCACTGTCAAGAATATGGCCTCCTGTTTAGTTTGTTCTAAATTAACTGACATTTTACATCTGCATTGAGTTCTGAGTAGGTTTTTAATGTCTGGTTTGTGTTATCTTGGCTATTTAAAATGTTAAAACCCACAGGCTAATTTAAAAAAAAAAAAAAAAAAAGAAGAAAAGAAACAAGAAAGACCTCCCTGCAAACACCCACACCCCCCAGGAAAGTGAAGCAGAAGTGCTCTTGTAGACACTGGTAAACTTCTACCTCACACATGCAATTGGTTGACAGAGCAGTGATTTCCTGAAACAAACCTAAGCAGAATGTCTCTGTAAAACCATCACAGTCAATCCAGCCCTTGTGAGCCAGAATGAGCAGTGCTGGCTCTCTAATGGGTGGCTCTTGAAAGTCACTAATTTTTTACAAATAGGTCCTCCCATTCCTACTGCAGTCATCTTCCAAGTTCAGTATGAATTTGATAAATGATCACATTGACACAATAATCTCAAGTGGTCATGCACTGGTTTTGAAAAATAGAATTTACCGTTGTGTTCTAAAGAAAAATTTAATTTTTTTCAGAGCATTGAATGCTGTTTTTGTTGGTAAACAAACAATCAGGGGCACCTGCTACAGTGGATCTGTGATCTTTATTACTTAAGGAAGAAAATACTTTTTTAATGTCCTGTACTGTGGTCATTACTATAGGTAAAACCTGCTCATTATCTTGGCCTTTTTGAGGCTTCATTGGATGATGATTACTAGGCCTGACACTGCTTTCTTCAGCCTCATTCTCAGAGAAATCAATGCATTTTTGAGTGCTCAGAACTTATGAGAACTGGGCCATCCTGTCTGGGGTCACTGTTTGACAACAGATTGTAACTTTAGGCATCTGTTTATTTAAAACCTTCATAGGTGCATGAAACACTTGTGTCCCAGACTTCCAAACCGAGGTACTAAGTGTGTGTGCTTTCTGTGTGTGCTTGGCAGAGGGGCAGTCTGACGCTGCTGCTGTGTGGAGAAAGTGGACTTGTGTCAGCTCTTGAGCAGGTGTTTCAGCATGGATTTAAGTCACCAAGACTCTTCAAAAACGTCTTTATTTGGGATTTTTTAGGTAAGTGGGAGGAAAACATACCAGAGCCTGTTTGTATCTTTGAAATACATCCATCTATGTTCCTTATCATCGCTGCTGTGTCTCAGCTGGTGTGAACAGCATAGTTCTTGGAGGCATCTCAGCAGCTGAATTGCTGTGAGAGCTCTTACCTCCTCATACTGTGGAAAGAAAAAGCCTCTGTCTTCTACCAAAGCTGACACTGTACTTAATGTAGTAACTGGGCTTTTTCCTTCTAGCAGAATAGTGTAAAACAAACTTACTGAGAAAGAGATCTAAATAAATAGATGAATTGATATATGGTACCCTTTTTCTTAAATGAGCATAGTGAAAGCAATAAATCACACTTCTAAGAACTTGAATTGCCTTATAAAGCACAACAGATGGATCTAGTGCTGTTGATACTTACTGGACATTGTAATAAAGGGGTTGTAAGCATACATTTTTTACGTAGTGATTTAGAACCTTTGACACAAAGCTGTATAAATCAACTGAGTTCACAAACATCTTTTGGAAAAGAAATTATTTTGAGTAGTGTTTCTTCTTTGTTTTGAGTAGGTACCTTGACATCACTGTTCTCCTTATATGATCATTTTACTGTAGCACTCAAAATTCAGTAGCTACCTGAACCTCTTCAGCACTGTTTAGAAGGAGGGCAGTGAGGGAACACGGGACTGAATCAAACAGGAAAAAAACAATGCCTACATGTAGTCATTCAGGATATTCATGGATGAGCTTTGAATCTAGGCCTTTCAACTTTCTCTCCTGTATGCACTCTTGAAACTTCATTATCTCCCACCATTCTTTTAAGAAAAAGCACAAACATACTATGAGACCCTGGAGCAGAATGAGATGGTCCCAGAAGAGAACTGGCAGACAAGGGCCAGGAATTTCTGTCGCTTTATCACTGCTATCAACAACACCCCAAGAAACATTGGGAAGGATGGCAAGTTTCAGATGCTGGTGTGTCTTGGAGCCAGGTATAAAGAAACTTCTTTATTATTATTATTATTGCTGTTGTTATTATTGATATTTTAATAAAATTAAAAGGATGCTGTGTATTAGTAAGATAAAGCCACGGGACTGATGGGGTGGACAGTTTGACTACTGCTTGTATACCAGTCTTTGATGTTACTGGGGAAGCATCAAGTGAATCCTGCCCTGAGTTCTTAGGCACATGAAGTGTGAGAAATCTGAGACAGGAAATTGCATAGCCCAAAAAGCTGAGCAGCTGAACCAAGAGGGAAAGGCAGCAGGCTGGTGTGAATAGTCTCCCTCTCATGTACAGGTAGCAAGGTTGGAAGGTAGAATCAGAACACCATCCATCAGGGGGACCTCTCCAGTTAATGGTTGGGTGAATTCCCCACCTTCTGCCTGCTTGTAGGAGGTGGGTAGGAAAGAAGCTGGGACCATCTAGAAACCTCTTGACATAAAGACAATGGAACAGAATGGTGACTTGGGGCCTGGTTGGGATTTCTGGGTCTCTTGGGAACCCTCTCTTGAAGTGGGGGGTGGGAAACCTAGAAACGTGTCTGTCTGCTCCCTCCTTAAACAGGTTCCACAGACAGTTACTTCCTCTTCCATGTCTTATAAAAATCAGTGGAAAAGATGGTAGGAGTGCCTAGAAGGCAAAGAATAAAAATCATGTCTGTGCAGATGAGAAATTAACTTGGCTTTTTTTTTTTCATTTCCAAACTGCAAATTTCCACCTTGTCAGAGACCACCTTTTGCACCATTGGATTGCCCTGCTTGCAGACTGCCCAATTACAGCACAGATGTATGAAGAGATAGCACTGATCAAGGATCACACGCTGGTGAATTCTTTGATTCGAGTGCTGCAGACCTTGCAGGAGTTCAACATCACGCTGGAGGCATCTCTCGTCAAAGGAATCGACATTTGACCTCTTGCCCCACAGGAAAAACTGTCTTTACAAAAACAAAAAAAGCAACAAGGAGTGAATCTCGTTAGTATGCAAAAGTTCTGTCTTGCCAGTACGTTGTATCGTGAACTTGTTCATGGCCCAAAAATGCAACTTTGACTTTTCTTGAAGGAAACTCCAAAAATAGTACAGGCAAATGGATAAAAGCTGTAAACTCATTGTAAAAAAGAGGATTTTGGTATAAATCTATTTTAGAGTTTATTTGCTGATTTGCTTTTTACACACTTTCATGTGAAAGAGATAGAGATGAGTATTGTGCAGCTTATTTTAAAGCTGCAGTATTTCCTTGCCATAGAAAATGTGCAGTGAGCCTTTCAGCATTCTGTGAACCTGCCTTCAGATATGCTGTATGTCATAGACCCCAATGTATACACTCCATTTCTGCTGAGAAGGTCATTCTATAGTTTTTAAACTAATATTTTATATATTAACATTATTACCAATGTTTGATTTTTAACGTATTGGGTCATGTTCTGCTGCAAGGGAACTACAAATCTGATGTGTGCTTTTTTTTTAAATAGCTCCAAAGCACTGATTAGTCAGCAATTATTTTTTTCCTTTATTTTTGTTGTCAGTATTATTTTTAGTGAAATTCAGGAGACTGAACCGTGAAATGTCCAGAGATCAAAGTAATATTTTTCATATTGGTACGTAATTGCACAGAAGAAGAAATTAAATCTGTTTTTTAACTGATGTTTTTATTTATTTAACCTATCATTGTGTTTTGTAAGTTTGTCTTTAAAAAAAAAAAATCTATGATACAACTGGCTAAATTATGTTGCAATTCAGATTTTACAGTGTAGCCCACTTAAATGAAAAACCTGAAATAATTGTTCATAACACAAAAATATTTCCACTTAAACCAGCCTTTTGAAGTTTGGTATATGGTTGCTGCTGGTAATTCTCTTAACTGCTAATAAAGAGGGACACGAGTTCCCCAAATACCATATGACTAAATAAATATGTTTATGCCCCCCTCCCGAAATAATAATGGTATACCTTACTAACAAATACAAGGATTCCTTAATGTTTCTGAAAAGACAGTGAGTATTGAGGCTTTTTCTTTTCTTTTCGAATGCATATGTCTTAGATCCTGTTGTCACAGTCTGCTTCATTTGGGATGCTTTGTTTTTAGCAGAGAAAGCTTTACTCCATTTCTGCTATAAAACACAAACATTTTGAAAGCTTAATTTATTGGAGATCTGGAACTTGGCAACTGCCTAAAGGCATCTCTGTTCATTTGAATCCTCTGATAAAAATCTCTTTGAAATGAATATGTGACTTAAGAACAGGCTGATTTATCAGCGTCACAAATTACTGTACAGAAGTTCAGGGCTGTGTATTTAAGAGGTCTCCACTGTATAAACTTATCTCAGTATTGTCTCTCTTTTGAGAAGCAGAGTCCAAGTTTTTTTTGTTCATACAATGTTGTAGCACTTTTCCTTTACCTACAGCTTAGTCACATCTTGTGATAGTTTTACTTCCATAATTTATGAGTATAGCACATGTATTAAATTTTGACTGTTTTTACTTTTGTCCTATTTATTTCATTATTAAATGGAGAAGTTCCTTTGTCACTACTTATCAGAGCAAGATTCTTCTTTGATTTCACAGTAGCATTAGGAAGATGTGAGGGCAGTGTCCAAGCCACTCCTCACATGGGATGGGTGTGAAATCTTTCACAGTCTGGAGCTTACAGGAGCATTTCACAGAAGTATTTTGTGTGTACAGGTATGGTTTTGTTGTTTTGGGGTTTTTTTTTCAGCTTTGGAAGGGCAAAAATAAAACAGTTGTACTTCATTCTAAGAATTTGATGTATTCAACTTAATATGTTGGGATAATCTTTATACACTTGCACAAAATTGCTTGTTGATGCATTCATAATAGCAAAAATAATTTTTTTACAGTGCTTTCTCTAAGGCCTCTGCATTTCACAGGGAATTTATCTACCTAAGAAAGGAGGGTTCCATATCTTGACCTTAGTAGATTAGTTGATTCTGTTAAAACCTGTTATCTCAGAGTATTAAATATGGATTAATTTTATCTTGCATGAGGTAATTACCCTGAATTAAGGTTATTTTCTTTTTTTTTTTTCCTCTTTACACAAGTTCACCTGGTGTGACATGATACCATTGGTTGAATGGCTGTTTTGATGCGGATCTTTTTGGCCTCATTATGAAAGCTGGCGATGCCTGGATGGATAGAGGTTGGGGTTTGCTGATTGCCGAGTATTGGGAACCCAGAGGGTGGCTGATGATTGGAGCTGTCCATCAGTGACAGCACCCTGTGTACTGGCTGTCCAGGTGCAAAAGGAAGTCACAGAGGTCATCTTCCCAGCTCCTCAGTTACTTTATTTTCACAGGAAAAGCCACTTAGATATAGACCCCTCCTCTTTCTCTCACTGGGGGCCTATGCTTAATCCTGTTAGGATTCAAAGCACTTTTTGCTAAGGACTTCCAAGCGTAGAAGGATTTGCTCCACTCAAGGACCAATAGAAGGTTCTAAAATGCAGCAGAAAAAAACCTGGTTTGGTTAGATCCATAAGCAACCAAGGAGGGCTGAGATATTAAATACAGCTGTGTGGTAGCCTGTGCTAGGGTTTTGGGAAGAGATTTGGCTGGCATGTCTAAGAATGGTCCGGTCTGTAGCAGCAGCCGTAATCTCTGCCTCTCTTCAGTGTTTACCACAAACCAACCTACTTCTTTCATGGGTGTTCCTGGTGTGAATCCCACAGAGTGAGGTTAGGATCCAGCATTCGCTCTTTCCATGCAATTCTGAACTAGATGACTGTGTAAGAACAAATGGTGTAGTCAGCACCTTTTTAACTAGAGCTTTATAAAATTCGTCTCCCTTTGCTCAGAATAATACAGTTGTAATGTTTTTCTCCCTGTTTCTAAAATAAGGGGGCAGGTTTGGTAGGGGCAGGTTAATGTGGCTGTGCTGTTCTGTTGTTTGGTAGGGATTTTTTGGTAACAGTTAATGGGGAAAGATTTCTTTTTTAATAGCACATATGCATTCTGTAGAAAGAAATACAATGATGAAAAATAAGCAGTTCATAATGCAGTAAATATATAGTGCTACATTGGCCAAACATGTTTACAGGCTGATACCTGATTTGAAGGGAAAAAAATAGGCTATTGCCTATCAATTATTTATGCTTCTTTGATTAATGCTGTCAGAGTTCATACAGTGATACTTTATACAGAAAAGAAAATGCTAATTAATAAAAACTTGATTTCAATGTAAAGAAATACTATGATGATAAGTTTATACAAAAAAAGCCTTTACCTACCGTAAATTTTAACATCTGACGTTCTGTAGCTGAAAGCATATTCATGAACTGGAGACTCTTCCGCAACTTTTTCCATTACAAAAAAGTGTTTTTCAAATTGGACCTACTAGCTGAATGATCCACATTTTTTATGTGTTTTGAATTCATGAATATGTTAAGATTTCTGCAGTGGAACTATTCAGAGTTAACTTTTTCTGTATATTGTCAAATGATCTTTGTCCGTAGTGCAAGATACTATAGGATACTTGAAAATACTTGAAGATATTGTACACGTACTTCACATCTTTGTAGTTCTTTATTTTATACCTAGAGATTGGCTGTTAAACTAAGATAAAGCATCAGTACCTTATAAACTATATATTTTACTACATGGGGAAATCACAGGCTTGGTTTTTTTAAGGGCCACGTTGAAGTTTACATTATAATGACAAAACCAGGTACTGTTTTCCTTTTTTATTTTTCCTGTGCCATTTCAATCCATTGGACATTAAATGTGAATTGGATATACAAAGCAGTTTTACAGGTGTAGCTCATTTGCTGAATTGCAATAAAATTTGTCTTCTAACATGAAAAAATAGCATTAATGTGCTATTTTCAAAAGCCTCTTATAATTTGGCTAGTCATCTTTTCTTCTTTGCCTGACTGCAGGTATGCATGACATTTTAGTGTCTCGTTTCAGTTTTGTGTCTGATCTGTTCAGCTAAATGCCTGCCTCCCTCCCAGCAGCAGCGTAGCCTTCTCCCAAGCAGTTGTTGCAGATCAGACTGCATCAGTGCAAGAGATGCCTACTCAGTAATCAGGGAACGGGGAGAACAGGAGGGCAGAGTGACTATTGCAGATCTTGGAAGGTGTCTGTGAGTACACACACATGTATGTGCTGCCATTCACTCTGTTTCAAACTGTTGTGCGAGGTCATCACTGAATATTTTATACCATCAAGGAAAACACAGAACAGAAGAAGTTTGGTCATTGGTGTGGAGGCATCTCTGTTCCTTCACCTCTCACACCCTGGTCTGTGGCGGAGGCTTTTTTAAGCAAAGCAAAATAGCAAGTGTTAATATGTCCCTTTGGGAAACCACACCAGTCTGCCTGAACTGGTGGTGATTCTGCTCTGCCACAACTGATGGTGTCATCCTGTGGGCTCACTGGGGAGATGCTGAGAGGGTGAACTCAGCCTGACCTCTGCTCTGGTGCGGTGGTGCTTGTGGCCTGATCCTCGGACAGGTTTGGGTGGTGCAGTCGTGAACCTGCTGCCAGATGTGCTGAGCCTTTGTGAGATGCCAAACCTGCCACCTGGAAACTGAGACCATTTCAATTCCCTGGGCTTTTTAGACCTGCTGCTCCTAGTTCCTCTGCAGGGCACTACAGGGATGGCTGTGGGTGAGGCCTGGATGGAGCTGAGAGGTAAGTACAGCTTTGGAAGCACATTCACTTCATCAAGGTAGTCTTGGATATTTCAGATTTCCTCGAAGGGAAAGGAGCAAAAAGAACAGTGGGCAAAGTGTGTTGTGCAGCTGCTGGGTGCACAGCCAATGATTGCTGACCAACTGGTCCAGACACAAGTTTAGAAATGTTACCATTTGTTGTAGTGATGACTTGGAAAGTTCTCACAAAGAAATACAGATGTCTAAAAGTTAGTGAAACATCTCCTTTTTCCCCCTACTAACTCAAAGATTTATATGCTTTAATAGAACATACTGTATTCAGTTCTGCAATGAACAGGAACCTTTCTTCATTTCAGTGACAGTGGCATTTTCAGATGCAAAGTCCACAACATTTAAAATATCACTGGTGGATCTGATGTTTGGTTTGGGAAAGTTTTCTACAAGTGACATAAAAAGACTTAGACAAGGAGTATAAATTTTATGAGAAGGTTTTTTATGCTCCTTGTGACCAGAGAAACCTCAAATTTCCTCTCTGCCTGAGATAAGCCCTTTGCAAGTTCTGCTTCCAAGGAAAGTCACTGTTAAAATGCAAAACTGAATGCTGATTACTGAAGATGTCATTTTACATAGAATTCAACAACCTGTTTGGTAGCTTGGAAAACTCTTGGATATAAAGATGGGAAATATGAAGTGCAAAAGTCTGAGCGATTCATTTCAAAAGGAAACAATTGTTCAAAACCCAGCATACATCTGGAGATGAGTAAAACCTGAAGCTACAGCTCTGAGACGTTATGTGTGTGAAAAGCTTTGGAATAATTAAATACTTAGATATATTTCCTCACTTGTCTGTTCCTTTCCTTTTTTTTTTTTGTTCTGGCACCTCCCCCCATGCCCATCCCAGCTGTTTTCAACTTCTGTCACAAGCACTGATAAAGCTCACTCAGTCATGTTAAATTTTGGGTCAATATGATGCACTGTAAGTCTGCTGAGGTGAGCAGCTATTGCTCGCTAAAGTGCAAAGGAAAAGGCAATCTAGAGGTCTTCAGACAATGTTTGCTCATCATCAAATAACAAAATTTAGCATGGATTATAAAGCATAAACCAGTTTTTAGTCCAAATTTTCAGAGAAAAATACACCTCTCTACTCAGGGCAACAGGTGTCCAATTTCTGGAGCAGTTTTTACATCCAGCTGCTCTATGGCAGCTTAGTCTCGATCTCTTGCTGTGAGGCAACTTAAAAGTGATACTCAAAGTGGAAGGCAGGGGAATTGGGAACTTACCTGTAAGGAAGGGTTCCTTTGGAGCAGCAGTCGGTGTTCCTAGCAGGGCTGTGCTCCTGTTGATACAATGAGAGCCGACAGTGTTCATGGCAAGAAGCCCCAGGCTTTGCAACACTGTAAGGTGGCGGCACACACTGGTACAGTTGGAAAGAGCAGACAGGTTTCCTGAGGTGCAGCTTTTCTCCAAACATCAACCAGTCAAACCTGTCTCCCCCCAAAGCACCTGTGGAGCAGAACTGAATGGGGCTCTGGCCCAGGCAACACGAAGATTCCGTTCAAGACAAAGATGCTGTGTAATATCCAGAGGAGCAAAAGCACTGCTGTTGGTTTTAGGATCGTTATCCATAAGGTATGAAAATACCCTATTTGCATACAATTCTTGCAGATATTTACCAGTAAGCTATTTTTCTCCCTGAAACTTTGTGATTTTTATTTTATTTTAAATTGCTGGAAAAATCCCCAAGCAGTGCTATTTGGGGTCTCTTCTTGTCGAACTGCCCTGCTATGTTTGTTTTTCTTTCCTCATACTTAACTTAGTGCTGAAGTTGAGTCTTAAGGATTTTTCTAGCTACTCTCTCTGAGTAAAGATCTTAGTAGCTAGAGCCCTGTGACTCTGTAGTTGAATAGAAATATTTAAAAAGGCTACACAAAGACATCTGAGTTGAGGTCTGAGCTTGTCTGGTTTGTGTCTTTAAGAAAGAGATATTTTAATGGCAATTCTTCATCATAAACAAAGGAGTGTTGTATGTGAAATAATAGCCAGGATCCTTCACAAAACACTTGGAGATTTATGTAGAAGAAATGGTTTCATTAGCTAAGATAAATTTGATATTGTTCTGTTTGTTTTCCAAGCTGCATTGAGGTCTTTTGATCTAACTCAGGCATTCCCAAATGTTTATGTCTCACTTTATGTTCTAGTTTACAGAAGTAAGAAAAATGCTTTGCTTTTACCGTGTCTCAGAAAGCTTTAGTTATTTTGTGTACATGACTCTTCAATGTCTCTTTCTGCTACAGTCTTCATATGTGTCCCTATTTCATGTATTTTGTCAAATCTAGTGATAAATGTTAATTAAATTAATATTGGTCGAGTTCATTGAGGAAACTTGACTGGAAAGTGCCTGAAGTGTGTTAGCTTTTCTGTGAGGTGGCTTGAAGTCGCATACATGGATGGGAAGTGGCTTCTCTGTACATTTGGGAGAGCTGTTTGTAGAGACACCTTGACTGATATCCCTGTTTGAGGGGTGTGTGAATTCCCATTGTAAGTATGATTGTTTATTCATGAGATCATGGAAACTTGTCAGGAAAGCCTTCACTCATTTATTACTTTCTGTTGGTAAGGGGGCACTTGGGGTATGGTGTGGGGCTCGAGAATCCTTGGAGTGTTTAATGAGCAAGCTTTATGTATTTAGAGATGAGATTGACTAAGACTGAAACCATCCAGGAGAGACAATAGGTTGTTTCTCATTGGATTTAAAAAGAGAATAACTTTGATCATTTCAAAAGCAATGAAGCCTGATGCTCCAGTGAGAAAGGAGAGTGGTAATTTATAGCTGCCATTAAGGAAACAAAGACAAAGACTGAAGGAAAGTTTCATTCTGATTTACTAATGTGTATAAACCACCCTTGCAACTAGGAATAGCTCGGTATTTCTCACAGAACAAAACAAAGGAGAAAGAGCAGTGAAATGGGGATGGGAGGGAGGGAGGGCTGGAAAAGAATACTGCCTGCTTTTACTTGCACCCTGAAAGGTCAGACATTATTTAGGAAATTGTGGTTTTGGTGAATAATGTATGAGCCACTTTTACCTGCTAAAGGAGGGACAGCTGTGAGAAATCCCTGGTTGGGAATGGAGGTGGGAGGTGTGGGCTCTGGTTTGGCCTTCAGACGGGGATTCACGCACTGCAGTGGGCTGTAATTACACAGTAAAAATCGTAATGCCGTGTTTTGAAGAAGCACAAGTGAGGCTGGGGCGAGCTGTGTATGTTTGGGCCTTGACAGGGTACCGGCACTCGGGGTCTCTGCACGGGCTTGTCTCCGCTGCAGGAGATGATTTCCCGGGCCGCGGCAGAGCGGGGAGCCCCGGGCCAGGCGGAGTTGCCGCTGGCACCCGCAGCCTGCGTGTGAGGTATCCGTGCTCCTTCGGGAGGCAGCGGCTCGGCGGGACACCTGTGTTTGGGGCGCTGTGCAGGTGTGCGAGCGCCGGTGCCGGCACAGGGAGGGGCTTTTCCTGCGGGATGGATGGGGCGGTTCGCGTGCCGGGGGTGGCGGGGCAGGGCAGGGCAGGGCGAGGGGAGGGGAGGAGGAGGCCCGCCCAGCCCAGCCCAGCCCAGCCCAGCCCTCGCCGCCCCGCGCCCGCGGTGGGTGCGAGGCGGGCCGGGCGCCCGCAGACACCTCCTCCCTCGGCCGCCGCCTCCTCCCGCCCGGCGGCGGCAGCAGCAGCCGCAGCGCAGCCGCCGCAGCGCCATCGATGGGGTCCGGCGGCCGCCGCGGCGCGACGGGGGCGAGGGCGCTGCTGCTGCTGCTGCTGCTGCCTGCGGCAGCCCGCCGCGCTGCCACTGCACCGGTGAGTGCCCCTGCCGGTAAATGTCCCTGCCTGACCCGGTGAGTGCCCACTGCCCGGTAAATGTCCCCTGCCCTGACCCGGTGAGTGTCCCCTGCCCGCTAAATGTCCCCTGCCCTGACCCGGTGAGTGCCCCCTTGCCCGCTGAATATCCCCAGTCCCAGCCTCTGCCCGCTCGCCTCATCCCTGTTCAGCGGGTGTCCCCCGGGCTCCCGGCACCCTCCCCTCCTGGGGAGCTGCCCGGGCAGGGGGAGGCCGGCGGCGAAGGGAAGGGAAGGGAGCGGCG